GCACAGGAAAATTTAGCTATAACATAACCTAACCTTTCGTGTAACTGTTGACGTTAGTATGACCCTGATATAATCGTGTCTGGTATACAGTTTCCTAAAGGTCTCCACGTCATAACCTCCTACTCTCTCTCTCCTCTATGACTGCTACTTTGTTACTTATCCAAATTTTCCTACTCTCCAAATATTAATTTTCTTCTTTTATTTTATTTTTATTATCGATATCATCTAGCGTACATTATGACGTCACGGTTTGTTTACTTATCATCTCGCGTACATTATGACGTCAAGGTTTGTTTACTTTTCAACCTGTGGGCAGAAGGGGATATAGATAAAGTTCTTATAATATCCGAGCAGGATAGGACTCGGAGCAACGGATTTAAGTTGGATAAGTTTAGGTTTAGGAGGGAGATAGGAAGGAACTGGTTCACAAATAGGGTGGTGGACGAGTGGAACAAGCTTAGCAACTTTGTAGTAAGTGCTGGAACGCTGGAAAGTTTCAAAAGGAGGCTAGATAGATTCATGGATGATAGAGTGTGGTAGTAACTCTCGACAGGAGCTGCCATGCACAGGCCAACCGGCCTATTGCAGACTCCTTATTCTCTTATGTTCTTATCATGGATAGTCCGCGGCATCATATTATCTAGGTGAGTGCAAACAGTAAAACCTCTATTTAACGGACGATATGTAGATGAAAGTCCGTTACATCGAAGGTCCGTTAGATGTGAAACCCCCCTAACACGGACTATATGGAGAGAAAAGTCCGTTATATAAAGGTTTCACAGTAAAAGAAAAAAATCCCACTTCCATTGTATAGACACACTCTTGTAGGCGTCCTGAGATCTGAATAGAGGCTTTCGATGAGGTTATGGCGTACTGACCTGAAAGAACTGTCAATTAAGGCCAGTCTGGGGTCGCCACTGCTTGCTTCAGTCGCATAGGGCTCAGATAACATACACTCAATGCTAAGTTTCCTCTATATTTCTGTTTTTTTGATTGCTTAATCCACGAATCATTATAAACAAGGGAAGTGACCCATAATGATAATAATAATAATAATAATAATAATAATAATACGACGGAGATGTACCATTACTGTGACACGGAAAGAGAGAGGACGCTTGGTTAATGTACAGTATATTTTTACCGCGAAGTGAAAGTAAAGATTCTCTCCTCTCTCTCTCTCATCACCCCACCAACTCACCAATCCAGTTGATTTCCTGATTTACAAGGATGAGTTAATTTATAGCTAATATTTTTCTTCTTCAGTCGTCAGTAATCCGAAAATAAACTTAAACATTACATTTCTGAAGAGTGAAATAAAGACAAAAGTTCCACCCTCTCCCATTTTTTACAGTACTTGTAATATGATAATAGAGAGGCTACTGGACTGTGCTTGATTTTCCTGGGATTAAAAAAATTATCAGCTCGCAAGAGGACCAATGTTTGGATAATACCACGAAAGGCAATAGTTCAAGCACTGTTTATGATACCGACATCAACATCATTTCCTGAGACAATGCGGAGAAGGAAGAACAATATCCTTGGGTTTTAATAATTATTTTTCCAGCGCAATGGACTACTTAGGGTATGCTTGTCGATGCAGTGCATAAATACATAAAAACAGAACCGCAATACGTTCTTTTGTTTGTGAATGACGTAGTTATGACGTCAGAGTCCTCCACCTTCCTATACCTAGAGGCTCAATGAAGCGCTACAAAAGGGGGGGGGGGGGCGTGTTTGAACGTTAACCAAAACGATAAACCATAAACCACAGCCACAAACACGCTATGAGAGGATATTTACTGACTTAGTTTAATGGTTGTTTACCGCTGGGTGGCCTTGTGAAGAGACTAACTGACTGGGTTCACCATTATTAGTATCATCAACAAGGAAGGCCTTAGGACAATGGTGGTCAAAGTCTAACCTGATTGGCCCATGGCACGTAAAGGGGCGGAGCTTCACACCGTCACCAGAAGGCCAATTTTTTAGGTATATTTTTTTTTCCGCAGGCAATACACGGTTTGATGATTGACATTTCAACTTTCCTTCGGGCAGTGTATAGTTGCCGAATTACATGACTCTGCAATTGTGTTTTATGTTTTCCTGCGAGCGAAATGAACGAAATACTATACAGAGCAGCAAAAATAAATTTAGTCTGTCATTAAGAGTTGCAGAAAGACGTGATGTGCCTGTGTGTGTATATGTGCATCCATGTGTGTATGTGTATGTACTGTGTATATGTGCCTCCGTATGTACTGTGTGTATGTCTGTGTGTGTACTGTATAGTAAAACAAAAGAAAGATACATTTACAAGAAACCTTAAAAATATATTCCCTTCATAAATTGTTTAACATCAAACGGATAATATATACAGTATAATCTCAGTAATGGACCAGAATTATAGAGGTATAATGTTCGTGAAGTCTAAAATCGCCTCAGTGTACAAGTGCGACAGGTAACCTTGATGGACAATGAAGGTTAAAACTACTCCATTGTTTATAAGGTAACAACAACAGCCAGACACGATCCTTCATACATACTGAACATACATGCATATATATATTTTTTTTTTATTCACCTTCGCGTGAATTTGTTTAAGGTGTAGAAGCTGTCGCCATCACAACAACCACACCCTGAGTTAACGGGATGCATGACCCAGTGTCAAGGAGTAGTCCGAGATGACCGGACAACTCGCTAACTGCACTGGCTAACCATTACCTCGGAACACGATCCGCAAATCGATTAACATCCAGGTCTCCAATTACTGCTGGGTAGACAGAGGCAAATGGCGTAAAGAAACTTGCCCATAGTTTCACCCTGCCCGGGGATCAAACTCGGGTCCCCTCTCTTGCGAGTCGAGAATGCTGACCATTACACCACAGGTCGCCGTACATACATACAAACTGTATTATAACTTTTCTTTATGAGAAAAATAGTAAAGATGAGAGGTGGTAGTGGCGGTAATGATGGTGGTAGCAATGTTGGTGATAGTGATGATGATAATGGTGATTGTAATGGGGTGGTAGTGGTGGTGATAATGATGGTGGTGGTGGTGATAATGATGGTGGTGGTGGTACTAGTGATACTAGTGAGGTGGTGGTGACAATGATATTAATGATACTGATGGCAATAGTGATGGTAGTGGTGATAGTAGTGAGGTGGTGATGGTGATAGTAGAGATGGTGATAGCGGTGGTAGTGACGGTGTACCTGCACACGCATACTTATTGAAGTGAATGTGTTCGTGGAGTCAATGATCTCTCTCTCCCTCTCTCTCATTGTCTTCATTTTCTTTCAATCTCTCTCTTTTTATTTCCCAGCTCTAAGGTTCAGCATGTGTCACAATTGGAGACTGGGAGATACTGTATCTCCCAGTCTCCTGACCCACCATCTCCAAGCAGGAGGAGATCCTTTGTCTCTACCCCTCACCCTCCACCCCTCATCAACACTCACCCTCCCCCCCCCCAGGCAAAGCAGGTTCATTTATTCTGCATTACCGAGACAAAAGGGCATAAGGAACATCTTTGTGACGAAGCTTGAAGTATCAGGTTTGGTTAGGTTGATTCAGCAGGAAATTCTATACAGGATTAAACTAGAAATTATAATTTAATTGTTTTTTAGCTGACCGTAATTAGTCTAAATGGCTTACCTGTAGATTTGGGGTGAAGTTAATTAGTCTAAATGGCTTACCTGTAGATTTGGGGTGAAGTTAATTAGTCTAAATGGCTTACCTGTAGTGTTTTTTAAGGGGTTATAGTTATAGCCATCAGAAATGCTATATAGTTAAATTGCAACTCTTTGGTAGACTCTCTCTCTCTCTCGTTATATCGCCTATATCATTTATTCTCTCTCTCTCTCTCTCTCTCTCTCTCTGTCTCTTGTCCACACCTTAAGGTCAGGTAGCCTGTTTGGTCTATCCAATTTGAACTGCTAAAAAAAACAACTCGTTTTCAATTCTAGGAACTGAAGGTAGTACATGTGTGTGTGTGTGTGTGTGTGTGTGTGTGTGTGTGTGTGTGTGTGTGTGTGTGTGTGTGTGTTGCTGGTCAAGTTTGTAATTACTGCTGGGTAGACATACGTGTATATCTCCCTCTTTCTTCTTCCCTATCTCTCCTCCCCACACACAGGCGGTCATGAATGATTAAGTTGAACTCATGTATAGCATTCAAAACCAGTCTCCCCCCTTCACCCCTGGCGGAGACGTAGGAGGGAAGAAGGGAGTGAGGGAATAGAAGGAGGAAGGGAGGGAGGGAGGGAAAGGGAGAAGGAAGAGAGATAGGGATGGATCTAACGATATACTCTCCCCTTCTCCCTCCCTTAACAGGAAATGGGGGGAGGTCAAGTTTCCCATTCCCCCCACTGCATAATCGACTCGGTCATCTGCTACGTCATATTACTCTCTCTCTGTGTACCTTGTATGTGTGTGTGTCCGTGTGTTTGTGTGTGTATGGTCCATGTCTGTGTGTGTGTGTGTCCGTGTTTGAGTGTGTACGTCTGTGTTTGTACGTCCGTGTTTATGTGTGTGCGTCCATGTTTGTGTGTGTGTACGTCCATGCTTGTGTGTGTGTACCTGGTGTGAGTGTACGTCCGTGTTTGTGTGTGTGTGTGTACGTCCGTATTTGCGTGTCTGCAGTTGTGTGTGTCTATGTTTGTGCGTCCGTGTTTGTGTGTGTCCGTGGATGTATAACAGTTCAGGAATCATCTTATACGCTGTGTGTTATGTTCCCTGACTGTCACGACGCTCAGCTGCCATGAACAATAAATGACAGAACTACAATAAATGAAAAAAAACCAAATGAAGTGATCGTCTTTTGTTTCTTTTCTACCCTAAACTACCATTTTGGTCAATATACTCATTTTAAAACGTTTAAGATAGTAAAGATGTTAAAATTCGCCTTTTTAAACAATTATATAAACTATTTTGACTCTAACTGATATAAAAAATTCCAATGTTTATTATATACACAATGGAAAATGATCAAATTATAGATATAGCTAAAGTTTGGCAATAGGTGTGATGACGGAGGCGACTACAGTATATGAACCCGCGCGAGGCTGATGCTCGGTTAGTTGGCTGCTGAATTTTGACGCAGGAGGAGCAACACGACTCACAAGAGGAACAATGTCTTTGTAAGTCGATTTAGTTTCTTCGTAAAAATAATATTGACCTTTTGTGAATAAATTTATTATTTGAGTATGAGGACTTAACCCCTTGAGTACATACTTAACCCCTTGAATACAGACGTAACCCCTTGAGTACATAGACTTAACCCTTTGACTACATATATTTAACATACTCAACACTTTCAGTACATACCCAACCCCTTGAGTACATAGATTAACCCCTTGAGTATACAGACTCAACCCTTTCAGTACAGATTTAACCCCTTGAATATACAGTACAGACTTACCCCTTTTACTGTGATCATTTAACCCTTTGAGTATTATTATTTAACCCCTTGAGTACATTGAATTAACCCTTCATTGTACTCAAAGGGGTGTCATCGTACTCAGAGACACCACAGGTGACGAAACATACTTACTCTTAACTTAAATCAACTTAACCTGTACCTAACTTAATTAAATCTAATCTAGAAAAGAGCCGTTCAGTACGGCTTTGTTCCTCCTAGGGAAGAAATACGTTGTTTACTGCGGCTTTGTTCATCCAAGAAAAAGAAACTGTTCACTATGGCTCTGTTCCTCCTAGGGAAGAAATACGTTATTCACTATGGCACTGTTCGTTCTAAAAAGGAGATCCTGTGTGCCGACCTCGCAAGAGGAAAGGTCACGGCAGTTTTAGCTCCCGTGGATTAACTATCAGTGCAACGGCTAGTGCAATGGTTAGTGAAGGTCAAGGAAGAAAACTTGAAATTAAAGGAAGTGACTGTGAGAATGAAGGAGGAAGAAAGGAGACAAGGAGAGTCTGACGAAAACACAGGCCAATGGAAGGTTGTGAGGAGAGGAACGACCAAACTGGTGGTGAAGAAAGACACGGAAACGAATACAACTAAGTGTACTAACTTTTTTTTGTCCGTTAGCAGACGAATTGGACGAGAACATAGTCAAGGACGGGTGACACGAATGGTACGACAACCTTAATTGTTGGCGATTCCCAGGTACGGTACCTGGATAAAGCCTTTTGTGTCAAAAATAGAAATAGGATGCGAGTGTGTTTGCCAGGGGCTGGGGTGGGGGATATAGTTGACAGGATGAACAATATCTTGTCTGGTAATGGGAACAAACCCATTATCTGCCTCAGTGCAGGAGGCAGTGATATTGGTCGGTGTAGGAGCGAGGAGCTCCTTGATAAGTTCAAGGCAGTTATAGAATGTATTAGGATGAAGGGAGGGATCCCTATCACATGTGGTGCCTTGCCTAGAAGAGTTGGCAACGAATGGTTGTCAAGGGCAGTTGGTGTCAACAGCCTTCTTGACAGATATTGTAAGTCAATATCAGTCCCATTCATTGACAACTTTTAAGGCAGAAGGGACCTTTATGCTAGGGATGGGGTAGCAACCCTGGATGGCTCTCTCAAGAGGGCATTTCAAAAGATGTTGAAGTCTTCAAACTGCAAGGGGAGCATTTGAGCACGGGGATCGAGGAGACAGCAGTGGGCGTGGGTAAGCAGAGTGAAAGGTTACAGACAACTAATGTTAGGAATGGTGATGAAGGTAAATTGGGCAGGGAGTTAAAACCTAAACACGACAAAGAGAGGACTCAGATCATGACTAACTTAAATGTCTACTCCACAATCAGTAGAAGTATGAGAAATAAAATGGATGAAATCAGGGCGTTGGTATGTACCTAAACAATCGATATAATAGCATTCACCGAAACATGGATAAACCTACTAGACTCACGTGAGTTACCTGTTGAATACCAAATCAGGGCTACAAATTATTCCATACTAATAGGCTGATTGGGAAAGGAGGCGGAGTAGTAATCTATGTCAGGGATAATCTGAAGTGTGTAATCAATAGGGAAATAAAAAACTGAATTGAATACAGAAACAATTTGGGTAGAATTAACTGATGGGAGGAAAAAATTAATCATAGGGAAACTCGGAATCAGAGGATTTTCTTGAAACAGTTCAGGGCTGTTTACTAAGTTATCATATAGCCAAACCCAACCGAGGTAATAATATACGAGATTTAGTTCTGTCAAACAGAGAAAACCTCAATAGTAATGTCGAAGTAGGGAACGAACTAGCTACCAGCGATTTAAAGTAGAACTTAATGTCAGTCGCAAGGAAAATTCCATTAAAATCCCAGATTTCAAAAGGGCAAACTTTGATAGGTTGAAAAGGGAGCTGAGAGAAGGGGTATTACGTTTGGGGGTGAATTACATGACTCACGTAAGGTGACCTCACACAATGTTTTTTTTTTTTTTTTTTTTTTTTGCGGGAATTAGCCCACCCAGGCACAGGTCACTGACCCACATCGGGGCCTGGGGGGGCGAAAACGTAATAATAATAATAATAATAATAATAATAATAATAATAATAATAATAATAATAATAATAATAATATAATAATAATAATAATAATAATAATAATAATAATAACAATAATAATAATAACAATAATAATAAAGAACCACAAAGAAATACAAAATGAAAAAAAAAATCATTAGTGAGGAACAATATATGTATGTTGTGTTGTCAATAGTAAGAGAAACAATTGAGACCCTGCAATTGTGTGTAAATGAGGCAGAAAGTCAGATCAGCAACCTGGGACTTGGTCACAATTTTCGTGATGCCATATGGCAGCAGGGTTTACCATAGACAACACATTATGCTTCCAATATTTTCCCAGGCAGTAGTACCTCCCTGTTTGGTAGCTGCCTAATACCTACTACCCACAGAGGGCGACCTCACTTTACCTGGTGACCTGACAGCGATAACCTCACAAAATATGACGGTTGAGGATGACCAGATCACGAGATCTGAGGTCGAGGACTTCCATAACAATTTAAATAAAGAGTTACTTAATGCACAAAGGCAGAATATACCTTACAGAAAACTCAGATGAAAAAACAATGTCCCCAAATAGATAAATAATTAATTAAAGAATATAATTGTACAAAGGAAGGCTATAGGTAGGAGAAAAATCGTAGTAAATTTACCCACGAGATTATTTTAAAGTATTGGCCAGTAGGGTTAAGACCGAGATAAGAAAAGCAAAGAGGAATAATGAACTGAAGGTAGCAAGGGAGGCGAAGCCAAACCCCAAGGGATTCTTCCAAATGTATGAAACTAAAACACGAGACAAGATTGGACCAATACAGTCAGATACTGGCGAGCTAAAGGATAACAACGGAACAATGAGCAATAATCTGAACAGATATTTTTCAACAGTTTTCACAACCCGAAAATTTTAACATGATACCCGAGGCACCGACTATATACAGAGATAGTGAAGAAAATAGATTAAGTGAGATAGTAGTGACTAGTAACGATGTTAATAAACAAATAGACAAACTAAAGTCTCATAAGTTGACAGGATGAACAATTTGTTTAGCATGTCATTAAAAACGGGAGTCCTACCAAAATCCTGGAGGATAGCGAATGAGATACTGATTTTCAAGAAGGAAGATAGATCACTATCCTCTAACTACCTTCCAATGAGTTTAACATCAATTGTAGGCAAATTACTGGAAGCAATAATTTCAAATTCTATTTGAAATCACCTGGAGAAGCACAAGTTGATCAATGATTCCCAACATGGTTTCACGAGTGGGCATTCATGTCCGACAAATCTATTAACATTCTCTCTTAACTGTTTTCGAATCAGTAGATGATGGACATGATTATGAAGTGACATACCTCGACTTTAGCAAAGCCATCAACAGAGGCCCCCCACGAAAGACTAATACGAAAATTGAGGCTCATGGAATGTGAGGAGATATTCCAAAATGGATTAAGGCGTGGTTACACGACAGGGAATCACGAGTTAGAATTAACGGCACTAAATTTAGTCGAGTACCCGAAGGCTCAGTACTTGGACCATTACTATTTATTATATACATAAATTACAGATAAAAGTGTCGACAGTAACATAAGTAAATTTGCTGACGACACTAAAATTGGTGTGTAATTAAATCTGACGAGGACTCCGCAAAACTACAGGAAGATCTAAACAAATGTTTCGAATGGTCTGAATAATGGCCGATGAAATTTAATGTGGACAAATGTAAAGTTCTTAGTCCAGGAGATGCAAACAGAGAAACCAGATATCAGATGAACAACATTATTCTAGAGAAAGCCGACTGTGAAAAAGACTTAAGAGTAATGACAAGTAGGAATCTTAAACCAAGTCAACAATGTGTATTTGCTGAAAACAAGGCTAACACAGTACTTGGGTTCATACAAAGGAGTGTTAGTTACAAGACTAGCGAGGTTATCCTGAAATTATATCTTGTGCTTGAAACCTCACTTGGATTACGTAGTTCAGTTCTGGTCACCGGACCACAGAATGGATATAGAATCCCTAGAAAGAATTAAGAGAATGACAAGCGTAATTCCGGGCATTAGGAACCTTGAGTACAGAGACAGGTTAACTCTAAATTTGAACTTGGGTTAAAGCATCTGAATTTGCACTCCGTCGAGACGTAGATTGAGGAGCGATGTGATCAAAGTATATAAATGGAAGTCAGAGTTAAACAATGGTACTCAAACTATCCAACCAGGAGCGAACTCGTAGCAATGGTTTTAAATTAGACAAATTTATATTTAGGCGCGAGATAGCAAACATTGGTTTGGAAATAAAGAGTAATGGATGAGTGGAACAATTTACCAAGCATCATCATTAACTCGAATACGCTGAATAGCTTCAAATATAGTTGGATGGATATATGAGTGATAGGGGTTGGGTGTAAACGGGACTGCCCAGTATGGGCCAATAGGCCCGATACAGCTTGCTCTATTCTTATGTTCTCTGTTCATCCTGAGAATGAAATACATTGTTCACAGTGGATTTGTTCATCCTGGGAAACAATACATTGTTCACTGTGGCCTTGTTCATCTTGAGAAAGAAATACCAATAATTGTTCGTTTCTCGCTCATTCCCCTTTTTTGATGAAAATTGTTTTTCTGGTGTATTTTGGTGTTTTAGTCAAATATGACCTTCATTTCTTTTGTAAATGAGCTATATTTTATCTAGAAAATCGACCTAACTTTACCTGACTTAACTTCCTACCCGGGACCCCCCCCCTCCCCCGTAATATTAAACAAAGTACTTACTTTAATATCTGGTAGTATTGAAAGCAACTTTGGTGAAGCGTAATGGTGTAATTTTACGTTGTTTGTGGTCATGAGAATACCGTAAGCTCCGACCAAGCGAGTCAGTTGTAAACAAAGCAGACAACACTCACCGACTACAGCAGATACCTAAGGTTTGAGGGTAAATATATTAAAAACTAAATATTTGCACAATAAATGTTACTCCTAGTTGTCGATTCGAAATTTAATAAAAACTACAGTAACACAGAATAGGAATAACACCAGAATAGGAAAGGGATGAAAGACGGATATTAACCCTAATACCAAAACCTGACCGCATTTCTAAGTTACCGGAGGCCGGCTGAGTGTTTAACTATTATTATTATATTACCTTCGTTAATGAACTTGCCATACGCCCGAAAGCGCATAAAATGAGTCATACATTAGCAATAAAAAACTCCCACCAAAGACCACCAGTCAGTCCGCCAAGAAAGGCAAGCAGTGAGCTAACGCAACCCTAAAATACTACTTGGCATATTGACCCACAACAGTGGTCTAATGAGGTGACAGGCAACGTGTACAGTATATAAGGTGTACTCTGAGTACGCATTGTGTGTGTTAACTTCGTACTCTACTTCAGAAAGACCACCACTATGGGGCAAAGGTCAAACTTAATTTAAATTGTGATAACCTTTCTGGGTCGGGTTAGTTTCACGAATCTCTCTCTCCCTTGGATGACCTGACCGATGATGGCTACTAACTTTGCACTGTATCTCCTCCCCCCCAGGTTAACAGTGTGTGCAGTGGTGCTGATTTCGGTGCTTTCAGTCCAGGGATGGCCGGGTGGAGCCCCAAGTAACATCTGCTTTGAGGGTTACGTGCCCAACCACGGGAACACCGTTGGAATTACAAACAACAATTACAAGATAGAAATAAAAAGACTTACAAATAATAATTTTGGAGGTGAGTTGGTGTGGTAGTGTAGTGGTGTGGTGGTGTAGTGGTGTGGTAGTGTAGTGGTGTGGTGGTGTAGTGGTGTGGTAGTGTAGTGGTGTGGTGGTGTAGTGGTGTGGGGGTAGTGTAGTGGTGTGGGTGTAGTGGTGTGGTGGTGTGGTGTGTAGTGGTGTGGTGTGTAGTGGTGTGGTGGTGTAGTGGTGTGGTGTGTGGTGTGGTAGTGTAGTGGTGTGGTAGTGGTGTGGTGTGTGTGTGTAGTGGTGTGTGTAGTGGTGTGGTGTAGTAGTGTGTGTAGTGGTGTGGTGTGGTGTGTGTAGTGGTGTGGTGTGTAGTGTGGTGTAGTGGTGTGTGTAGTGGTGTGGTAGTGTAGGTGTGGTAGTGTAGTGGTGTGGTAGTGTAGTGGTGTGGTAGTGTAGTGGTGTGGTGGTGGAGTCGTAGTGTAGTGGTGTGGTAGTGTAGTGGTGTGGTAGTGTAGTGGTGTGGTAGTGTAGTGGTAGTGTAGTGGTGTGGTAGTGTAGTGGTGTGGTGGTGGAGTCGTAGTGTAGTGGTGTGGTAGTGTAGTGGTGTGTTGGTGGTGTGGTAGTTTAGTAGTGTGGTGGTGGAGTCGTAGTGTAGTGGTGTGGTGGTGTAGTGTGTGTGGTGTGTGGTAGTGTGTGTAGTGGTGTGGTGGTGTGTGGTGTGGTAGTGCAGTGGTGTGGTAGTGTGTGGTGTGGTAGTGTACTGTGTGGTGTGTAGTGGTGTGTGTGGTGTGTGGTGTGTGTGGTGTGTGTGTGTAGTGTGTGTGTGTGTAGTGGTGTGGTAGTAGTGGTGTGGTAGTGTAGTGTGGTGTGGTGTAGTGGTGTGTGTAGTGGTGTTGTGTGTAGTGGTGTGGTAGTGTAGTGGCGTGGTGTGTAGTGGCGTGTGTAGTGGCGTGTAGTGTGTGGTGTGGGTAGTGTAGTGTGTGGTAGTGTAGTGGTGTGTGGTGGTCTCTGTACACACATACACGCATAACGTCTCCTGTACACACACATACACACTATTAATCGCTTCCTGTACACACACATACACACTATTAACTCCCCTGCACACACACATGGCGTCATCTGGTTAACGTCTCCTGGGTACTGCACACACACACATACACACTATTAACGTCTCCTGTACACACACATACACACTATTAACGTCTCCAGTACACACACATACACACTATTAACGTCTCCAGTACACACACATACACACTATTAATGTCTCCTGTACACACACATACACACTATTAACGTCTCCTATACACACACATACACACTATTAACGTCTCCTGTACACACACACATACACACTATTAACGCCCCTGCACACACACATACACACTATTAACGTCTCCTGTACACACACATACACACTATTAACGTCTCCTGTACACACACACACACACACTATTAATGTCTCCAGTATACACACATACACACTATTAACGTCTCCTGTACACACACATACACACTATTAATGTCTCCAGTACACACATACACACTATTAACGTCTCCTGTACACACACATACACACTATTAACGTCTCCTGTACACACTATTAACGTTCCCATACACACAACTTTATTGTGTCACCTTTAAACACGACAAATGACCTGCCAATAATTATCATCTTGTCTCTCCCACAGTTGAACTAAGTCATCCTACCAACTCGCTCTTTAGAGGGTTTCTTATCTACCCTGTTGACATTACTGAAACCCCTATTGGGGGCGGCGAGTTTACCAACCTCGACACCAACACCAAAAATTTTTCTTGCAATGGGGTGAGTTGTGTGACCTATTTGAGTAACAAAATCTTTACTGACCTCAAGATAATGACCTCGTTTCATCTTATTATTATCTCTGTGACCTGCAATGACCTGCAATGACCTCTCCTACAGGTCAGCCTAATCACCCACACAAACAATTCGTTGAAGCAGACGGTCTTGGCTGAATACAAAACCACCACCACTGAACCAGCTGGCTTCAAGTAAGCAAAGTATCTTTCTCTCAGTTGAAAGTGACTAAAGCTGGTGAAAGTGACAAGTAGAGTTTGTTTACACCTGGTGACTGAGCATAATGGTTTGTTTACAGTGCCACTAAGCTGTTTATTGTTTTCCTTACAGAGCCGTGGTGGTGATAACCGACCACGAGGACTATTACATTCTCTCATCCCTAAATCAATAAATACAGCAGGAATGGATCCCTAAATACAGCAGGAATGGATCCCTAAATACAGCAGGAATGGATCCCTAAATACAGCAAGAATGGATCCCTAAATACAGCAGGAATGGATCCCTAAATACAGCAGGAATGGATCCCTAAATACAGCAGGAATGGATCCCTAAATACAGCAGGAATGGATCCCTAAATACAGCAAGAATGGATCCCTAAATACAGCAGGAATGGATCCCTAAATACAGCAAGAATGGATCCCTAAATACAGCAGGAATGGATCCCTAAATACAGCATGGATCCCTAAATACAGCGGAATGGATCCTAAATACAGCCCTAAATACCCTAAATACAGGAATGGATCCCTAAATACAGCATGATCCTAAACACAACAAGGATGGATCCCTAAATACAGCAGGAATGGATCCCTAAATACAGCAAGAATGGATCCCTAAATACAGCAAGAATGGATCCCTAAATACAGCAGGAATGGGAATGGATCCCTAAATACAGCAAGAATGGATCCCTAAATACAGCAAGGATGGATCCCTAAATACAGCAAGGATGGATCCCTAAATACAGCAAGAATGGATCCCTAAATACAGCAAGGATGGATCCCTAAATACAGCAAGATGGATCCCTAAATACAGCAAGGATGGATCCCTAAATACAGCAAGGATGGATCCCTAAATACAGCAAGGATGGATCCCTAAATACAGCAAGAATGGATCCCTAAATACAGCAAGAATGGATCCCTAAATACAGCAAGAATGGATCCCTAAATACAACAAGGATGATGGATCCCTAAATACAGCAAGAATGGATCCCTAAATACAGCAAGAATGGATCCCTAAATACAGCAAGGATGGATCCCTAAATACAGCAAGGATGGATCCCTAAATACAACAAGGATGTATCCCTAAATACAGCAAGGATGGATCCCTAAATACAGCAAGAATGGATCCCTAAATACAGCAAGAATGGATCCCTAAATACAGCAAGGATGGATCCCTAAATACAGCAAGGATGGATCCCTAAATACAGCAAGAATGGATCCCTAAATACAACAAGGATGTATCCCTAAATACAAAAAGAATGGATCCCTAATACAACAGTGGATCCCTAATACAACAATGGATCCCCAAATACAACACAAAATGTCTACCAACGCAGATAAAATAGATAATTTAATGTTTTATTATCTTGTATATGGTAGAGACGCATAGTTTACTATTTTATAATCATTTCATTGTTTTCTTTTGAGGTAAGTTTGTCAGTTTGTTGAGGATCTGCCACAGCTCTTCGGAGAATTGATTTTACTACGCATAGAAGAAAAACACTAGAGTTCTGTATTATGTAATGCTGCGATATCAAATTTCAAAATGATCGCAGGGATTAATTTTTTAGATTTTGTCTTTGTCCTATACTTTTTAAGGTACATCACAAATGAACAGTTGAGTCTAGTGTCAATTATAAATATACAAATCTTATGCTGATCATTGAGAGTCCTCCTGAAATGCGATAAACATCTAAACCAACATTGTCCACTCTTTAGAGAAATTTGACCTTTCTATAACTGTAAATTTGGGTTCTTTTATGATTTCTTTTACGTTTTCATCTTGCATATACAAATTCACTCATTCAATACTTTACTATCAAAATGCTGTTTATATACATGGGATGTATGTTTAGCTTGTTTTCGTTGTTTAGGATGAGATCTTGTTATTGTTATTATGTGACTTGTAGTAAAAAAAATACACAAAGTTTTTTCAGTTTGTACCAATATATAGTGTAGTTCGTTGTATCATTATATGTAGTGCTGTTCCTTGGATTATACCACATCTACAGTGTACAGTAGTTCATTGCACCACTTTATGTAGTATAGTTTATTGTACCACTACAGTGTTACTTATTGTACCATCATATGCAGATCTGAATAAAATTTTAGAAATCTTACGTTTCTATTACTTAATTCTCAAAAGCACATAAAAATGTACAAGATATGTTCCCCACTAAAGATGTTGAGAATTAATATTGAGCAAAAATGGCTTCTAATGGGTTCTGAGAATCTAACCTTGATTTAATTATGATCTTCGCTCAACACCAATTAGGAGACAAAAAAGATAAATCGAGATTCTCCCTGAACTTGATACTCTCTCTGAACACTACACTGTCTATGTACATTGTTTTTATAATTACTCTATGCACTTGTACACATACTGCTTATGTCTTCAGTGCATAAGTACATACACACTCGAAGTGCTGTAAGCTAATTCAAAATAAAGACTTGACCAATACTAGTACAGCTACAGATACATTCTGGAGCCAATACATGATCACTACTTGCCAACGTGTGTAACAGAGATCCAGTACAGTATAGTCTGCATTTACACGGTCAATTGAACCCGTGGAGGCCCGCGTAAAACGAGAAACACGTAAATGAAATGACAGAACATATGGGATTAATTGAAATAGAGACTGGGCCGACCCCCAAACTCCACTTTTTCCGACACAATACGTACGTTGTAGTAAAAATAACATCTTAATTTTATGATGGTATGCACACACAATTAATAATTAAGAGAAATAGCAATAATATTATGTTTTTTAACACTTACGTTAGTAGAAAAGCTGAGTCGGCACACGTGGATGGCGGCTGGTTCCGAAGCAGAGGGCAGATTAGTTGCCCTCTGGTGAATCACTTTCACTACTCGCAGAGGTTTGCAGGGCCTCCCAGACAAATCTCTCAAAGTCCATATCCTCACTGTCAATATCACTATCACTGACTTGGGCTGGTTGTGGTGGGTTGCGGGCGAGGAACTCCTCAATACTACGTTGACGACTAGCATTGTTGTCGTCGAGATAGATCTGGGTATACAGCTCCATAAATTTCGTCAGATGGTTATTAGACACCTCATGCCGATGCTTGCCTGGGTCGTTGTCAAGGATGAGCTTAAGTTTCTCCCCCAACTCGATGACTTCCTTCACATTATCATGGCTTGGTCCAGGTAACTCAATGTTTTTCCCTGGTGGTGGGGGTCCCGTTGAAGCCATTGTGAGTTGTGAGGGGAATAGCAGGCACAAGAGAGAACTGTATACGCGGACTGAGAACAATGAGACAGGCCCTGCTAGGTCAGCGACTTCTACCCTCTGGTGGCAGGGCACGTCATGTTACATTAGACCAATCACAGCTAGCGGCAGAGGGAATGAGTGGGTGGTAAGGATGCGTGGCCCAATCACAGTCCGATACGTCATATGACGTCAGCGATAACGTACGAGCGGTCTAATGCGCACCACTCACCGCGCCGCTTCCCGCATATGGTCAAGAATGGACAGTGTGGGTAAAAAATGACGCGGCGGTCTGGACCTCTCCAGCCGCTCACCGCGTAAATGACCAAATTTACCGCGTAATTAAAGCATTTACATTCTGGCAAGGCACCACGTGAATGACCAAACGCGTAAACAAAATCCGCGTAAATGCAGACTATACTGCACATAATTATCGGGAGGGGGGGGGGTGTTCATGGGGGTCAGACCCCTCCTTTCATTAGAAAATTCCAATACTTTTTCTTTAATGCAGTATTGTACTCAGGCGTTTTTGTATGGTATAAAGTAATTACTATTGAACTCGAATATCTCCTAATATCAAGTGCACATGGATTCAAAATGGCCCCAAAATGCCCATGACATTGGTCACACTTGTATTAATTCGTCAATTTTTTTGCCAACTTTCAGAAAATCATCAATCTTTTTGTTGTGCACCGTCACACGTGTTCAGAACCAACTCACCAGTTTCTGTCGTTCGACAACTGTCAACAAAGAAGATGGATCCAACTGATGAAGAAAGCACAGCAATTCTACGCTTTGTTGTGGCTGTTTTCCAACATCGATGGACTAAAAAGCATAAAAGACGTGGCAGTAACCTTGGAATTTACCATTACTGTATAAACAAGACATGAAGAGTAGTTAATAGCTTACCTGCTGTGATGTTGAGAAGCTCTGGAAACTCTTGCTGGAGGAGTAGTTATTTCATTACAGGCCTTCCTCTTCAAGTCTTTTTTGGTGTAAGAAGAGTCTTGGTGATTCCAGAGACAGTGGCACTGCCTTATCTGGTCCACCAAGAACTCCTCGGAGAGGTGTGTCCATACTTGGGAAATTATTTTATCTGTTGGCTCCGTCATGTTGTAGTTATTCCCGCATCGTCAAAATGTAGGCAACAAATTAAATTTTCTTACCTTTTTAAAATCACAAAATTAAACATAATGAGTTAACATGGGAAGAAGAGTAAAAATTACTTTATAATAATTTTAGCTTTACATTTTAAATAATAATTCATTTATTTTTTACAACTGTTTTCAGTATCAATTATTATAGATCTTGAGTTGACTCCGGTAAGTTGTCATCCGAGTCGTCAGTGCAGACGGTCTGCACCATTTGAAAAAAGTCAACGATTCGTGAAAAAATGGGCGATTAATGGAAAAGTTGACACTAGAAATGTTAGTGTGATGCCACCTTAAGTTCCCCCACCCACAACTTCTTGGGCCCCTTCTTTTGATATTTCTGGATCTGCCCGTTAGTAATTGCCAACAATGTGTAACATCGTCATCGGTACAGGTACGAACCATCATTATCATCACCACCATCATCATTATCACTACCATCATCATCACCACCAGCAGCACCATCAACATAATCACTACCATCATCATCATCATTACTATCATTATCACTATAATCATGTTGTGCTTTCCGGTTACCTGTTGGAATCACTGATTAAAGATGAACTGGAAGCAACATTCATAAATGTTTATGGGTTAAGTTTTCAAACCCAAATGGGACGAACTTTAACTGATGACTCCAGTCAAGGTGTGAGGACACAGTGGGAATACAATACAGTACACTATCATATGTCCAGTTGATGACTACTCACGTCTAACGGGAAAAGTTACCTTGGGTGATGTAATTATATAAACCTAATATATGTAACCCACTGGACAGGGGCTAATAAATTGCTCAGCCGCCAGCCTCTGAGTTAACTAACCATGGAGTATAAAATAATACCTATGGATGCCTATCCATGTTATAAAAGATAAAATGTGCTATAGCTAAATGGAGAATCTACAACTGGGGGTCGAGTCTCAATTCCTAGCCTTAAATGCCTTGTGTCATGGCTTTAAAATGTACAATTGCAACTTCCGAAGAGATATGTTTGTAAAATCAAAACATCCATAAAATTGATCAAATGAGACTGAAAGCTGGTACAAAAAAACTAGGAAAAACAAAACCCTTAGAAAAATAGCATTGCAAAATATCTTCAAATAAAGGGGTTTGTTTCATTATATTATATTTGTATTTAATATTTTGTATTAATTTTTATTTATTATTATTATTATATTTTCGTCCCCCAGGCCCTGATGTGGGTCATTGACCAGTGCCCTGGTGGGCTCATCGCATAATTGTTTTTTAAATTGTCAGAAACTATACCCTTTCCACACTAACTTTGCAGGTATGCCACGAACCTCTTCTATAAAAATAGCCGATTGGTTCATAGAAAATGTTCATATAGCCGCGCATTTATTCAAACTAAAGATGTTCACAATTGGTAAGCAGACTTGTTATTCTCTAAAATAATGTTAAATAACTGGATTATCAAAATGCAAATGATTTCAAGGCATCAACACTTCAGAGAGGATGTAAGAAAATTTAAAATATTTATTATAAAAGGTCATAGTCAAAGATGAAAATAGCTTTTGAATGAAGTCTTTTCATTATTTCTTTGTTTTGTACCAAACATAAAACAAACAGAAACAAATGATACCAAACATATAGCACAATAGGTAATGTACAATAGACTTGCAACTTACGCGAGGGTTACGTTCCTGGGACCTCGCGTAAACCCCAAAAAAGTCAAAAACATTCCTAAAAATTCCCCCAATCGCCCTTAAATCACTATATATACTACATATACACTAGAAGTCATAAATCACTAATGTAGACAACAGCTCACTCTCCCTTCAACATGTCTTGTCTCTTTCTCTCCTCAAGAGTAATGAAACCCTCAGATGGAATGCACAAGATAATTGTTTATATTGTCATTTTTGGATTTTGTAACATTAATAATAATAAAAACAAAAACAATAATAATAATAATAATAATGACTTACCCATTGCAGCTTAATTTGTTTTGATGAATATTTTTTCAATATTTTCATCGCTGAGTTCGGATATGATATTCATTTCTTGGGCAAAATGCTTTATTTGGTAGATAATTAAGTTCCTAGGCTCACACTAGAGGCACTACAGTACAGTACTTCATATTTCTCGGTGATAAAATGGTACAGTGGCCTGATCCACGCTCCATGTTGTCCTCCGCTCAAGTGTTTTTTACGAGCTGCTTGGTCCGCGTGGTTTCTCTCAAGCCCACAAAAAAATTTAAAATTACACCATATTACATTGAGTTCTTTCTGTTTAATATGCCAAGGGGTTTGGGGGAGCAGAGCCCCCAGGCTAGGAAGTTAGGTAAGGTTAAGTATATTCCTGTGGTTAGGTTGGTGCAGTCATCTAACAACGCTTTGGCCACTTTTGTTTCTTATCAACTAAGGTCAGGTTAGGTTTAATTTAGAAATACCTGTAACACCATTTTAACACATTTGCCCATACTATGACTGTGTCCTCTGCAAAACACACTGACCTTAATTAATTAATTTTCTCTGAAAAAACGGCGACGGGTATGTCGTCAATAATTACCATTCAAACATCCCAAGAATATATCTGGAAAATTTGAACGAATTCCCGAACTAATTTCTACTGCTAACCATCTCCTCCAATATTACCTAAGCTACTTCACTTCACCATTCCTCTATAGTACAGTAACTAAACTTCACTTTATCATGGCACTACAGTAAACTCGTTTAAGGCACAAGTTCCTCAAACTATCAACCAATTCTATTGACAAACTCGTACAATATTTCCTGAATTAAGGATCTGACAACTTTGTCGTTATCCTTGGTCAAGATGCCTTGATGTTTACCTGCACTGTCTTGGCACATAGTTTCTAAACATGCTTATGCAATTGTAAACCCTTATGACAACTTTATTGAAAAATACTACTAATGTGGTCCTCAGCATGTTAAATCACAATGATCTAATCTATAAATAAATAACCTTAATGTATGAATACATTTGCCTAAGTATAAATTTAACCACTTGAATAAATTAAAAATAAAACATACCATAAATATGATGAACGGTAGGTTAGAATGATGACAGGCAGCCATTCTTACCAGTGCTTAAATGAGAAACTTTGGGGAGACCACCACCTTGTACTGTATACACTTTCTCCTCCTGTCTCCATTACCAACTCTATCAATCTGTTGACCAAACATGGTTACCAACATTACTGATACTGTACTCAATTATATCACAAAATTACTTAAATTTTAGTGACATTTATTCCTAAGAATAATAGAATACTTTTCAAATCTATAAAACATGACTCAGAAAACCATACCTGGAAAACGAAAGATAAATTATTTCCCCCAACTACTGTACAAAATGCAGTAATTACCTTACTGGGTTGTTAGCACTGATTAAGAAAATATTTAAAGTACTGTCTAGATAGATACTGTATTAAGATGGATACATATAGATAGTTAATGTTTTAATCTGGTAGATTGTTGGAAGAGTTTACAATGCCCACAAGAAAGTTTGCCTTATTTTCTTAAAACTTGTAGCTTCTTCAACCTTAAGCTGTAACCCCTAGAGGCAGGAATCTGCCAGCTGAGGTGTTTATAGACTTCTATTACGTCACCCCTTGCCTGTCTATAGTATAAGTTAAGCAGTTGCAGGTGTTCTAGTCTCTCCTGGTAACTGAGGTGCCATTTTGCACACACCAGTCTAGTGGCCCTCCTTTGGAAGTTTTCAATGAACTGACAATCTCTAGCATATCTCGAAGACCAGACGGGGTGACAGTACAGTACAGTACTCCAGACACGGAAGCACCTCACCTTTGAAGCAATTGTAATATAATAAAAAAAAAAAAATGGATACAATTACAATTAAAAAGTATAGAAGCTAGATTATGAATAGTTTTTTGTAAAGTTTAATTATGATAAGATTATTTTGATTGCAATTTTGATTGTGAATGCACTATAATTGTAATTATGATTATTATCAGCCTTGTGTCTACCCCACACTGTAGGTGTGCACAGTAAAAGAGACTCATTAACTTATCTATATGTGGAGACAAAGGTTTCACATTGGACTAATCAACACAAGTACAGTATGGCATATGCTTAATTATTACTCTTGATTGCTGAACTAACATAACTGCAATAAGAAAATTGCATAAATATGGATTTGAACAGTACAGTACAGTAATTAGAAAAATATGACTAAACTACAGTATAGTATATTTGCATCACTGTAAATATTATATAATATTTACGGCTTCCGTAAGTGCCAGTGCTTTTATCAGTATACTGTATATCAATACAAATGATTAACTTAAGCAAAGGACAAAAGAATGTGTGCAGTTGGCCGAGTTCTATTATGAAGTATATCTTCTAATTTTAGTTATCATAGTATCAGCAGTTTATTTAGCTTATCGTGACTTAAGAAGTTAAACTTTAAATTCACAGCATTTTATTTACCCGAGGACTTATTTTTTTACTTTCATTTACTGTATTTCATCATTCTATTTCTTCTTTTCTCAGTGATTTTAAATGTATATAAGGACTAACCCTTTCCATGCTAACCTGGCCTGTAAGCCACGCCCCTCTTCTACACTAATAGCCAATTGGTTCCTAGAAAATTTACACTAAATGTGTTCACAATTGGTAAACAACCCGTTATCTAAAATACTGTAATGTTATATATCCGGAGTATCAAAGTGCATATGATTTTAAGGCATTATCAGAGAGGATGTTCGAAAATTTTAAATATTTATCATAAAATGTCGATATAAATACAGTACTCGCAGCCCGGGGAGGTAAAAACGCTCAGGAGAACCATTCGGGTATTTGTAGCTATAGACGAGGGGTGTGGCTTACAGGCAAGGTTAGCATGGAAATACTGTACTATAGGCTATGATATAGTGCAATTTTAAACATTGTTCTGTAAGTACGGTTTGCACATTGCATGTGTTTCGACTTAAGAACGTCCTAAGGAACGGAAGCCATTCGTAACTCAGGGACCCCTTGTACTATACTGCAACATTAACTAAACAACTCTAAATCAATAATTGGCAGCCCCAAACTGTATCACTCATTTACATTAAACATTTTAAAAACCAAAAACGAAACATTGTTGTTATCACAAACATCTCGACAATCAAACGTATACACTTTCTTAACCCTATACAGTATAAGAAATACACACCATTCAAAAACTTGCAGGAAAATAGTATTAAGAATTATTTCCTTTATACAATATTCAACCAACACAGTTTCTGCCAGTGTTTTTTCCTTTACATGCATGAGTGTTGTCAGCCACAGGTGTCACTACTCCTTAACCTTGACTGGACAGTGACATGGCATACCAAAGACCAATTGAATGATGGCAGAGTTACATATATTTGGGGACAACAGTAATCACAGGTGATTACAACTTTCTGCTCTTTTTCCTTCAATGGTGTACAGTACAGTATATTGTCAATCACTTTCAGAAGATTAAAGGCCATTTTCATGAACAATGTGACGTATTTACAATGGCTGTTATCACTTTAATTGAAAGTAAAACCTGCTTCTTGTTGACACTTCACATCAATATTTCTCATTAACTCCTGAATAAATTGCCTGGCATTAGCCAAATAAAATATTAAGTGCTATCCCAATAGTTAAGAGGTTAAAGACTAGTTTCCCTAGTTATGCCACATTTTCACCTGGCCTCAACAAACCCACATTAACAGGAATAAAATTTCCACCAACACAGGAAAATTGAGAATTTCATTACACAATACAATACTAAAATGTCTCACACATGGTTGAACATTATGGGTGTGGTTGTTAGTGTACTTGTGGGCATGAGTGCTGTAACTGGGGTTCACTTTTCAAAACTGTCATTTTCACAATAAATCAATTTCAACCTTGTTGTTCTCCATGGACTGGCCACACACCCACAAATAATCATGCAGGCCCTAACCAATGTAGGTTTGTGCATGCCCATCCAAGAGTGTGGGTCTGGTCTGATAACAAAACACCTTCAAGTAAACCACACCTAAATATAGTTCTACTTTTTTTCTTTTTCCTTAACAGAAGGTGCTTGTTAGTACAGGTCAGGTGTGGGCAGTCTTAATATTGCTACTATACCAAGTTTATTCAGGATTTTTTACCACAAATTTTTTAAATGCCTTTACTTCAAGGATATGACACGCAAACTATTTTCTTATTTTTATTTTGTGAAACAAATGCCTCAGATGAAATGTTAAAATGAAATAATGGCAGGGGGTCGAGTTCTCAAATGTGCATGAAGTAGATGTTACTTCTTCCCACTCTTCTTGATACCACCAGTTGCTGGAAAAAAAAAAACAAACAAAACAAATTAACTGCTGTCTAAGATTTCACAATCAAGGAAATGACAGCAAAGAAAATAAGGACAAATAATTACCTAAAAGGCTGGTAAATGTGTTCATCACTTGACCACATATAATAATGTAACAATAAGACCTCTACACAAAAATAACAACAGCTGTTTAACGATTTAAATTTATCATGGACACGGCTGTAAATAAAAGTCACCTTGCCATGGCTAGTCATAATTTTGGACACTTCAAGTATAATATTCTGATCAGCTTTGACATGAGAACTCGAGCCTAGGTGATCAGTGGGTGCAGTTGGGCAACAATTGTGGATACTGCTTATAGGATGGGTGAGCTTCAAGCATCACCAGTATTCTCATATTATATACAGTACTATAAGAACACTTCCCACTGATTTGTAAAGAATTGGTGAAAAAAAAAAAGATATTGTAGAGAGAATTAAACAGACAAAAAAAAATCACTAGGTTGTATAAGTGTCGGATAACCCAGCATGACTTAATCACTGCAGCGGCTCCTCAACCACTGACTGCCAGAGCCTCAACCTCAAAACCAACCATGATTTTTGGGAAGGGGGTTAATAAATTAACCTTTAAACAGCAGCTCAGGATGCACTACTCTGCCCCCATTTGTGCAAAAAGGGAATGCATGAAACATGAAATGTCTACTGATGATGGCTGCCATTTAAAAGTTAGAATTTAAAAATCTTACTCATTTTTTCTTTTCCAAGGTACAATACAACCAATACATGTACAGGGTCCCCTCTGAGGCAAATAAAATTTTCTGGAGTTAGCCAATTAAAATGTTAAAATTGGTGTCCCCGCACTTTAGTGGTTAGTGGAGATAGTCTATTGAAGGGGTCTGCATGACACCTCAACATCAACCTTCTCCCCCATCAAGTTATATTCTTATTTTTTCAAGGTAAAGTGTAACATTTACTGTATTTCATTAATAGATATGAATGTAACATTTGTTTAGACTGTGCTATCCTTTGTGTTAGGCTAACTACGAAATTTTTTTCGATTTCGAGTAATCTGCACCTAACCCTATTTTCTCCATAAGCCCTGTTATTTCTATTACGCGAATTTCTATAACACGATGTTTTACAAGAAAACAACTATCGCGTTATAGCAGAACTGACTGTATGTTCACTGAGGGCATGCGGCTTATCCTTGTGCATGCATTGAGGGACGCCGAGTCTCCTCGACTTTCCTGAGCGAAAACTTTTAAGACTAATATTAAATCTGTAGTATTGAAGATACTATTGAAAAAATATATTTTGATTTCTACTAGGCATCCAATGCAGACCTTGCATTCATTAAGAATACGCCACTGACTCGTACCAAGACAACAGTAGTAAGGAGACCGTGTGGCCAGTGACAAGGAGACAGTGGTCAGTGTTGCACATGACTGCCTTCAGTTTCCAGACTGTAAACTCAGGCAGTCGTTCACATGAGTGAACTGGGGGTACAGGAGACAAGCCCTGTATCCATACTTTCAAAACAAGTTACAATACAGTATATTCTTGGTTAATTACAAAGTCAACGCAAGACGTACCCAGAGGGCCACCCTTGGCTGCACGTGCCTGCATCTCCTTTAGTTGTTTAGCCTCTTCTTTCCTCCTCTCCGCAAAAGCCTTGTCATCCTGCAAGAAAGAAAACACCACATTACTCCTAAATACACACCATCAATGTTTACCTTCTGCTACTTACTGTACTGTACAGGTATAATCTAACATGGTCTTGCTAGATAAATCATTCATCACCTAAGGCAATACAGAAGCATAATATTTACCATTAATGTAAAAAATGACAACTATATTAATGATTGTTTTCTTCATGATCTGTGCCCACAACTTTGTCTTAATACATGTACAGTACATAGAATGACCATCCAATGGGAGACACAGAAAAGTATATTAAATTAAATTATAAAGTTGACAGTAACCCATATGCTCTGGTAGAGTATATATGAAATGAACAATTACGAAACAACCAATGAATCGGTAATACCACACACAGTACAGTAGTTTAATGTTTTTATTTTTTCCCCATTTGTCAGAGCATGTAGAGGCAGACTTCTTTACCACTTCATAAATTAACCCGTCGTGCCAGATGTAATCGGAGGAGAAAGCTTTCCTTGTCCAATTTTTAGTCTTCTCATGAGGTAAGAAAACTTTTATCCTTTGGGGTGACATCCGCAAGTTGTTGGTTCAGGGACGCAACCACTGTTAAGTATTTCCGGCCTTTCCACACCAGCTACCCATTTATGAATTAAAAACAAACACATACACAGTGAAAAAAACAACAGGCATTAAAACATTTTCCAGTAGCAGATCTTAACCTAATTTGAAAGCTTAGCTATCGACAAGCTAATTCTTTTGAAAACACTTACAATAGCCTACAGATATTTGCCTTATCACACTTCCCAGCTCTGTATCCCTGTAAATATTATAGCATAGTACTATACAGCTTCTACTATTGTTTTGTTGAAGAACTTTTAGAGGTGTTTAGGTGAACAATAAGTAACCACCACCAGCAAGTAGAGAAGCCATAACTCAGTCTGCCATTCTTCTGATCTTTTATACCAAAACATTTGTCTCTGGTAGTAAATTAACTAAACCAGATTGGGAAATACCAAATGTTGGATTTATAGAGAGTAGCATATGCATAATAATCATAATATAACAAGTATTAGAAGAAAACATGTAGTTTTATGGTACTATACAAGTTCTAAGGGAGACTGAGCCAAGTCCAGCAGGAAATTTTTTTTAAGGACGTTGATGGATGAGATACTGTTAATATTGTTTCTGGTGACCTAGAATGCTTCATGGACCAAAATATGAATGACCATGTGAGCAGTAGCCACAAGACAATATGTTAAGCTACTGCAAGGATGAAGGTGTAGGCTTGCTGTAACTTATTCAGACAAATCAATACAAACTATACTCACTTTACACTAGCTTGGCCCAGAAGCCACGCCCTCTTTCTACGCTAAAAAGTAGCTGATTGGTCCATAAAATGTTCGTTTACCTCTGCATTTATGATAATATGTTCACAATTTATAATTAGACCGGTTCTTCTCAATAATAATGTTAAAAATTACGAACATAAAAATGCAAATGATTTCAAGGCATCAGCACTTCATAAGAGGATGCTAAAATTTTAAAATATGTACGTATTACGAACAGTCGAAGTCAAGAACAAAAGTTGCATTCGGATGAAGCCTATCTATCATTTCTCTGTTTTGTAGACAACAAACAAACACCAAACATATAGCACAATAGACAATTACCTACAGTTTGTAAAGGCTACATACACCGCAAATCCTTGTTTAACTGAAAAAATTTATAAACATACATAAAGTGAAGTAAGTTAGGTTATGGTGGTTAATCATAGGGTAAAGTAAGTTGGGTTGCCTTTTCTCTATGCAATCCAATAGTTTTATTTCCCTGAATACCAAGTGTGTAGCCAGTGGCATTGTGGGAAAATTTAATTAATAAACTCAAGTTTTTTCTCTAAGACAAATAAGGAAGAAAAACACTTAAGGAAAAGTAATTAAACTGCCAATGCTATCTGAAGTATTGCCAGAAGTTATTAATCATGAAATCATTCTTTTGATAACTATTGTTTTAACTCCATATTTTCTAAACGTTAATAATAAACCCTCGAAGATCCGGACATTCAGCTTTTCCCGGATCTTCGAGGGTTCACATACTGTAGGCACGTCCTTCTCAATCTAACTGAACAGTGTCCATTGTGCTCTGCCCCTTTATATTATTTTTCTAAGTAGTGTAGTGTAAAGAAACTCAACATTTTCTTCAGCTGATTTTAAAATATTTTTAAGCAGTACTGTACAGTACATATACTTAAAAATCAAAACACATTGAATTGTGAAACCCATTACTGTACCTAATTTTATCCATGAGATGTGAGCTTGGTTTTCAGCATGAAGTTGCCTGCACTGCAATCAATAATATCACACCACTTGGTTCTTTTTTATTATATTGTAAGAATAGCACTGTCTTCATGACAGCAACAACAAAAAGCCTATTTCTCATAGGTATGATGTCACAAAAGACGGCTTTGTATGAAAAATGGGATCTTCTTTTCTGACTTGCTAGACTCTACAACCAAAACTTACTGCACTACTATAACCTTTAAATATTTTCTGGAATAAATGACATTTATAACGAACCATCTCCAGTTAACAAAGACTGTCAGTAGCAAATTAATTTGTTATCCATTCAAGTTTTGAAACATAACTGCATCTTTAAAGAGTTCAATTGTCTAATAAATAGTTCATTGTTAGCTTCCATTTCCTGGTTAACAAGAAACTTTCTGATGTACAGAACATGACAAGCACCATTTAAATATTTTTCTTAATTGTAGTTTTCTTGTAAACAAATTCATTTTGTTCTGGGCCAGAATATTGGTTTGAGAACTGTGTGCTGATCTTTTCATAAAGTCTAACACACTTAATAGGTTGACCGCCCACCACCTTCTGGCGAGTGCCCCACCCCGCCCCAGTTTGTAAAATACTGTTCTAGCCAAATAATACCTTATACTCCATGATAGATATACAGATTGTTGGTTCATCACAGTGAAATCACTTCACTTCACCTGTTCAAGTTTCATGCACTTCAACACAATGATATACTGTAGTGGGACATTAGGCCAACCCTTATAAGTTGAACCTTGACCATGAACACTTCAAATTATTGATTTTATTAATTTTTTTAGTTTTATTCATCATATTCAGGTGGAACACAAATGGTCTACCATAGGTTACAGGGTATTTAAAATCACATTGAACATAAAAGCAAATGAAAGCATCCAGTCATAGTAGATTACTGATGAGATTGAAAGATAACAGAACCAAACTGATTTAACTGAACTTGACCGAACCTAAACTAACCAAACTGATCGAGCCCAACCTCAACTACTCTAACCCAACAAACTTAAAAAGTATTTGGGTTAGCTGTGTTAGATTAATTTGATTCATATCGTCTACAAATTACTGTGCCTAGTAGTATGGACAAATCTCGTGTAGTCTCTTACGATGGTTGAGAAATTGCTCTCATAACGTTGTCTCACTCAAGGTTATAGGTTCCTCAAGAAACACTTGAATTCTCAGCCATTGCAATAGAACACAGGGTGAGATTTGTACATCATACGACTGTACTCAGCCTCGTTTAATATGGTAGGGTTGCTGGAAAAGCTCGTACGTCGACAACACTTCAAGCATGAAAATGGATGGATGTCACACCAGCACTAAACCACACCAACATTAAACACCACCTCCAGATCACACCAGCAGTAGACGCCACCACCTTGTCACACCAACACTAGACAACACCACTGATATTAACATCGTTTTGGTCATTTGGCAAATTTTAAGTTTAGGTCAGGTTTGGTTATGTTAGGTTGAAATTAAAATTTTACAATGGGTTTTCATGTGTTTTGAACAAATTCCAAATAGGTGGATGACAGGACAGGAAACGATAATTTTACCACACCAGCACTAGAGAGGAATAATAATAAAAAAAAAAAAAAAAATTACTGGAGACGCCAATACGGATTAAAATACCCCCCAAATACTTCTAAACTATTGTTCACACCACAAACTCAATAAAATAAAAACAATCGATAATACTCTTACTCACTAAAATAATACCAAAAGCATAGATATAAACTAAAGCTCTGAGTGTGGTGGCCATACTGCTGTACTCACCTCGTCTGTCTCCTGAGCCTGCTTTTTGGGCGCCTTCAGCGGCTTCTTCTTCCCACCTAGAACATAAGGAATGGGAGTAAGTTAATCCTCATACTGGTATACTTCAGCTCGAGTGTATATAATGAGATATAAGGTATAATCTTACCTCCACGAGAAGACATGTTCACTAACTGACTGCGGCTCCTTCTCTGGTCGTGGTCGGGGAGGGACAGGCTGCTCTATATCCTCCTCACCATAACAACAAATCAATTAACTTTCCTCACAATTTTCCCAAGTAAATAAAAAAATGCCACAATATATTAAAAATTATTGACTAAAAAACAAAATGTACAAATATTAAACATTTTAACACGCAATTTGTGAAAATAACTTATAAAATATCAAGGATTTGCACCGGATATATGCGCTCTGCTAAGTCTTTCCAGAATGTTCCCAAATTATCATTTTGAGACAAGTTTCAAAAATCTTCCTATGATAAATAAATCAAATATAATTACACTTCTCACTTGTTTAAGAAACTATGTTTGGTGTATATGATGTACAAACTGCTGATTCACTGTTGCATATTTTCTGTGGCATAACAAGGTAGATAGATTGATAGATATATTAGAAAGATAGATTTTTGTTATATGGGAATTAGCCCACTCCGGTACATCAGGGCCTGGGGGCGATAATAATAATAATAATAATAATAATAATAATAATAATAATAATAATAATAATAATAATAATAAATACAAAAACGAAAAAATAAATTAAGAGTGAGAAACGATATACATTGTGTATGTTGTGTTGTCAAAGTAAAAGAAACAATAATGAGACCCTAAAATTGTGTGTAAATGAGGCAGTAAGTCAGATCATCAACCTGGGACTTGGTCACATATGGCAGCAGGGTCTACCATTAGACAACACATTATGCTTCCAATAATTTCCCAAGCAGTAGTACCTCCCTGTTTGATAGTGCTTACTGGCTACTATCGCTATATAAGTTCACTAATCATTTATGTTCATTTAATTTCTCAACTTTTAAGACCTTTCTTGGTCTATTGATTAAATCGATGTACGTATTCTTTACCTACTTATTTGTTATCTCTCTCTATCTCTTTACACCCGTTGCCTCTGTTCACCTAGCAGTGAGTGGGAACCGGTTGTAAGACAGCTGTTGTGGGTCGCATCCTGGGGAATGGTGAAATGCAATATAACATGAGGAATACCTCTCAAAGAAGCAGGACTTGTGTCCTACCTTGGCGTATGTCCAATGTTGGTGATGTAAACCATATCTGTACATATATTGTACTGACCATGGTCGTACATGTTAGTTAACGTAAAATCAGACGATACATATTACGCTCAATAGCCCAATAAACTTCTTTATTGAGTCCTCCAGTTGAGACGTCCGTTTTCTCACTGCTTCAGTATGCATGAGACTTACGTTTTCTCTCATGTACATCAGAGACTCTGATATTTCTTAACACCTCATCTCATGTTATGAAATTTGACATTGCAACTGAATGCGTATATGTTACATAAACGGCATTCAGTAAACCCTCGGGACCGTGAGAATTCCTTTGCATGTCCTATGGTCTTCACAGCAGTCCAATAACCTTCTCTCGGTTAATGACTAGTATCTTCCGCTTGATTCTAGGGACAGAAGTCCTCGTGTATCTAGATGATAAAATTGTCATATCTCCAGACGTGTCTTCACATCTTGTGAGACTAGAGCATGTGCTAGCCAGACTTCAAGCAGCTAATTTAAAGCTTAAGTTGTCCAAGTGTAAATTTCTACAATCTAGAATACAATACTTGTGATATGTTTTTACTTTTTACTTTTATCCTCTTCGCCAATGATCGGCTTGTTAGTCGCTTGGGCGATCGGTCACGTCTCTGTCACGCACTGTTGGCAAATACTAGGCATGCACCGGCTCCTGAATGTACCTGAACCCGCTCCAGTGTTGGTCAAGTTTTTTCTTGAAAGAGCTCACACTCGGTGCCGTCACAACACTCTCTGGTAGATTGTTCCAAGAGTTTACAACCCTCACTCCGAAAAAGTTTGCCCTCACGGTTTTCTGGACTTGTGGCTTCTTCAATCTTGAGCTGTGACCCCTTGTGGGGTGAGCGTCCACCAGCTCCAAGTAAGGACACTAAACTGAGTACTGCCCCCTGAGATGCTTAAACACCTCAACTAGGTCCCCCTTTGCCCGTCTGTAGTATAAGGTAGGCAAGTTCAGGCGCTCCAATCTCTCAGGGTAGCTGAGGTGCCGAAGTGCAGGCACCAGTCTGGTGGCCCTCCTTTGAACATTTTCAACCAACTGACAGTCCGTAGCATATCTCAGGGACCAGGTGGGGTGACAATACTCCAGATGGGGAAGCACTTCACTCCTGAAGATCGTTACAAGGGACGGACCGTCTAGATATCTGAACGACCTTCTTATAAGTCCCAATAATTTATTTGCCTGATTTACCTTCTTCTCGCAATGGCCCGAGAACTTCAGCTCATTGTCAACATACACACCTCGGTCCTTCTCACACACAGTCTCAACTAGTGCAGTTTCTTCATCCCGTTGGAACATATGATACGCCTCCTTACCGTTGGTACGCCCCAGGTGCATCCTGGGTCCCCTGCCCATAACATCATTCAGTTAGTGATATCTGCTACACTTAAAAAACAGACTCTTATTGGACACTCAAAATATATTCCCTACAGTTAATACATAATGTTAAATGTAGAGTCCGTTTAGCGTTGGGTGCATTGTAGTGTGGACGGACACCTGTGAAGGGCTGGCTCCGACCTTTCTGGGTTTATTGAATGTTTTCTCTGTAGTCAATCTAACTAATATATGATGATGATGATGATGATTATGATGACAGTGATGATGTTGATGGTGTCATGGTCATAATGATATGGCTACTCTGTTAAAACCTAATAATTCATATTATGCTCCATGCCCACAAAACCTGTAAACCTTTTGAGTCTCCCAGTTGAAACATTCGTTCTCAAACCACTTCAGAAGATCTGAGTCCTCCGTTTTCTCTGTTGCATTACTGAGAAACTCAGTTTTACACTTATTCCTAAATTCCGCACAGGTTGTTCAAGCATTTAAATTGGTAAGAGAACACCCTTGCTTTGCGTCAACGTAGAGATGTCTGATTGCAGATGAAGCATTCAAGATACGTTGTGACTGATGGTGAAAGCTGGGGCTGAAGTGACCTCTTTTTCACATATGAACATCAGAGAATCTGATGTTCATGGTGAAATTGTTGTAAGGATGTTAATTACGAAAGTAATTAATTAACCTGAATGGAACTGGCAGACCAGGTATCTTGGAGAATCTTGTAGTGGATTCCTCCCCTACAAGCACCGAACCTTCTCGAATTCCCCAGTCTACGCCTCCAGCGCCGCCCACGGAGCGGGGGTCAACTATCTACCCGCGCCTACCCCCGTCTTATAAGTCCTGACACCGCTGTGACCCCCCTCTTTTCTACCCAGTGCCACCAGCAAGCAACACCTCCTCCTCCGCGCCAGCCGTGCGGCTGCCGCTCCGCCAGCGACCTTGGCGTCCCTCAAGCCGCGTACCCTCACTCTGGGCACCCTCACCACCCAGCTCTCTCTACTCAATGCTTATTACCATGCTTCCTACCGAGCAACAAGCTGCTTTGTACATCCAATACAATATGTATACAGCGAGCACATTGTGAGTTTCCTTTCTCCATCCCATCCTGAGTGTGAACCAATATCTCATAACCCCACAATCTAACGGGTGTAACCGGTTACTGCTTGTCTTAGGCTCCGCCCACCAGGGACTGCCATCCTGAACCTTGAAATCAATTTAATTCTTGTCTTCGACAGCTCAGTCAGAACGTAGTTTGAAAAGGGAATCTTGGGAAATAGAAATGAGTTCGTAGTCTCAGTTTCACACTTCAAAGTGAACAGTAACGTAGTTCATTGAAATAGTTGGGTGAGTGGAACTCGAAGCTGAGCGAAGGAGGAGGAATGTAGGACACTGACGCTCACAGGCGTTAGTCCAGCGTCTGAAACTCCTCCACCCACAGGTTCCTCTCGGCCAAGAGCCTTGTAGATTGGGACGACCTCCACACTAGTTTGGGAGATGGATGAAGGCCAGTAAACTCGGGTAAATTCGTGAACACAAGCGTCAAGAACTAACCACCTTCTCTGGGGCCCAGTCAACTGGCCAGCCGTTCACCTGACGCGTTCACTGTCCAACTTGTTGACCTCACAGGCCGGGCAAACACTGCCAGCCCCCATCATTGTTATGGATGAGTTACCTACTCAGTAGGGCTATATGGTGGCTGTGTTATTCCTCCGAGTACACCTGTATGTAGTCAAATGAATTGTCTGAGTGTTTGAAGCCAGCAAGAATAGGTTGACCACCACTTTGCTTGTGGGCAAAGGTACCACAGTGGTGAAGAGAAGCTACTAATCCTGGAGTTGTTAAGGTATTAGTGTTGCTGTTGTAACTGGCATCATTGCCACTTGTAATAAAGGTGCTCAAAGGTGCTATGTAAGAGTATTGTGTGTGTTTTTGTAAATGTACACCCAGTGGGTGTCACCCAGTCATGGTGTAAGTGGAGATTGTACCTAAGTTTAACAGTTACAAAATGAGTAAAGCCAGGGAGTTGACTCCTGTAGTTGAGTGTTACTGAAATTATTGATAAAATATAATTTCATTTTAATAAACCATTTTATAATTTTAATAAACCATTTTATTTGTATGTTAGGAGCATCATTTACCTGCAGTATTTTACCGTCATTCTTTCCCATTGCTTGATACCAGAATTACAATATACCCATGTGTCATAGCCCTCGAGCCACGCTACCAAAGGTCAGAGGTTATGGAGTAACTATATGAAATGAAATAACTAGACAAAACTAATGGAGAAAATAAATGAAGTAAAAAATTAAGAGAAAACCAGGTTGAAGAGTTTAAAAGTTAACCACCATGGTATAAATTAAAAAGGAACACACAGGGAAAAACGCCGCTCTTATATGGTACTAATGATGATAGTGATGATGTTGATAGTCGTGATGAGGATGATGATAGTGATATTGATGATGGTAGTGATAATGATGATAGTAGTGATGATGATGATGATAGTGATGATGCTGAAGGTAGTGATAATGATGATGGTAGTGATGATGATGATAGTGATGATGATGGCAGTGATGATGATGATGGTTAGCCAGTGTAGTAAGGGAGTGGTCCGATACCTGTCAGACTATTCCTTGACACTGGGTCATATTTGTGTCTATATTTAATCTACACCACATACAAACACACTTAGATAATACGTTATAAATATTTAACCTCCAATCTAAATAGCCCATACTGTGGTATTAATGTTACTCTAGTGTACAGTATGTATTAACTGTGATTCGATACACTGTGTCCTATGACCATTAGGAGAAACTATCGACTTCCTCTACTGTTATACCTGCAGCCCAACAGGTATACGATACTCTACTATTACTATACATTACTGTAGGTGATTTAGTTGTTAGAGTACAAAAACATTTCAGAGCTCTTAATACTGTACTTTATATTGTGTCATTTAGTTTTGGTATTTGTAATAATAAAAAACTATTGAATAAATATGTAAATAGCTGTAATACATAATAAAAGATACATGATAAATAAATAAGGTCTTGAAATTCTGAGCCAGTCCGAGAGTACTTATGCCCAAGCCTCGTATGCAATTGGAAATAAAGTTAATAACTAAAGGGATCCAATAACCTCCCTGATCACCATACAGACTCAACAAAATACCAAAATAACAATCCATCCATAAATTAACAAAAATAGATCATAAAACTATCATAAAAACCGAGGGCAAGTATGACCTATGATGTTTATATCATGCTAACAACTGACCCTAATATAAGTCAGCATCACAGAAACATCATTCATAAAGAGAATAAACAAATTAATTAAACCTTTAAACTAGTGTAAATAAATGAGTGGTTAAATGGTTTTTCTCAAAGGCTTATGGAATCCTTTTACATTATTTTCAACTCATAAAATTGATGTATATGTTTTTTTGTTGTTGAGAATAAAAGTTTCTTATGCAAATCATGTAACATTCTGAGAGCTCTGTCGTTCAAATCGGCAGCATCACATTTCTGATCTTCGTCCTTGCCAACTCTTCCTCTTGCTCCACCTTTTGAACCTTCACAAAGGTTTTCTTACAGTCTTCTCTACTGAGTCCCCTGATTAGTTTTCTGCCTTTGAAGGACCAGCCTTTGCCCTCTCTTCAAGGTCCTCTGATGTGTTTTCGGCCTTTGAAGGACCAGCCTTTGCCCTCTCTTCAAAGTCCTCTGATGTGATTTCGTCCTTTGAAGGACCAGCCTTTGCCCTCTCTTCAAAGTCCTCTGATGTGTTTTCGTCCTTTGAAGGACCAGCCTTTGCCCTCTCTTCAAGGTCCTCTGATGTGATTTCGTCCTTTGAAGGACCAGCCTTTGCCCTCTTCAAAGTCCTCTGATGTATTTTCGTCCTTTGAAGGACCAGCCTTTGCCCTCTCTTCAAAGTCCTCTGATGTGATTTCGTCCTTTGAAGGACCAGCCTTGCCCTCTTCAAAGTCCTCTGATGTGTTTTCGTCCTTTGAAGGACCAGCCTTTGCCCTCTTCAAAGTCCTCTGATGTGATTTCGTCCTTTGAAGGACCAGCCTTTGCCCTCTCTTCAAAGTCCTCTGATGTGTTTTTCGTCCTTTGAAGGACCAGCCTTTGCCCTCTCTTCAAAGTCCTCTGATGTGTTTTCTGCCTTTGAAGGAACAGCCTTTGCCCTCTCTTCAAAGTCCTCTGATGTGATTTCGTCCTTTGAAGGACCAGCCTTTGCCCTCTCTTCAAAGTCCTCTGATGTGTTTCGTCCTTTGAAGGACCAGCCTGTCATATCTTCTTTCATGGGACTTTCGTTCGGGGGAGTAGAATCCGGGATTCCCCAAGCTCTGTCAATTGCCTTCATTGTTTCCAAGTCCCTAATCGCCTGTGAAATGATCACTGCATGAAATTGTGGAATTAAAACATTATCTATCTACGTTTTCTCATTTATATTTGAAATCTAAACAAACCACAACCTTCAAAACCTACCAATCACTGGAAATGCAACACAAATAAAAGATTTCTTATGTTTAGATTTTCAGGTAAAATATAAAATTTCATAAATTATAACAATATTAAACTCCCACCAACAAAAGCCTCACCAATACCATTTATAGCCACTGTTCATGGTTGTGTAGCGGCTAGACATGATTACCTGATCACCAGATGACCTTTTCCCTCAAACATATTTATTGTTGCCAGAGGAGGGTTAGTAAGGTCCTTCCTGAGGTTGGATTAGGCAAAGTGATAGAAGAAAACTGTCGGGTAATGGGGACCCAATAAATTCATCATAAAGACTCAGAAATGACAATACAAAACAGTGAAGGAGCACACCGTGACTCCAGACCCAAGAAGAGATGTGCCTTTGTATATACTGTACTGAACACCACAACCATTGTTTTAGACTTGTAAGTGAGAAGCAAACCCTCCAAAAAGTTCCTCTCGAGTATCCAAAGTGCTGGAAAAATACAAAGAGTCTTCAGACACGAGGAGCTGAACACAGGGCTACTAGGACGTGCACCCCTGGGCCCTCTAACAGACACTAGACTAAGATAGGATACAATTTCTATCTCTTTTGAGTCCTCACAGAAACACAACTCCCAAATGGGGTCATGGAGAACACTAGGGAGTCAATTCTTCTATTCAGGCTTTTCTCACCATCAACAAAAAACATTGTATGCTTCCAATTTCCTCTTTTCTCTTATAACACGTCTCACACTAACCCCCCCATATCCAGTAACCATTCCTACTCCACACCTTCAAGAGGATCCACGCGGTAATTATTTTATCTGCTGTGTGTTATGTCAGTCATAAATGCGCATCAAATAAATTCACAACAGCTCCGTCATTTTAGATAGACAGGTACGCGTCAGCAGCCGAAGAGAACCTGGCAGTGTGAAACAAAATTCCATTAATATTTGCTAAATCTAATGAAAATTATTATTTGTATTATTTTTCTCTATGCTATTCTCTTCAGTATGCCTTTACCCAACTCATGAATTTATAGTTACTTTACTTTATCCTCTTTGACACTGTTAGCCTCTTGACTGGTCGGTCACATCTGTCATGCACTGTGTCAAGTACTGGCTCCTGAATGTATTTGTATCTGGGCGGTGTTTGTCAAGACTGGTCTTGAATGAGCTGACACTCGGTGCCATCACAACACTCCCCAAGAGTTCACAATTCTCACTCCGAAATAGTTTTCCGTGACAATTTTCTGAACTTGTGGTTTCTTCAACCCTGAGTTGAGACACTCTAGTGGGGAGGACATCCACTAGTTCCAGGTATGAACACTAGACTAAGTTATATCGTCTGAGGTGTTTATAAACTTCTATAAATTACCCCTTGCCTGTCTATAGTATAAACTAGGTAACTGCAGTTCTAATCTCTCTGAATACCTGAGGTGCCAAAGTGCAGGACCAATCTATGCCCTCTTTTGGACAATCTCTAACAACTGATAGTCACTATACGGGGTCCAGTACTCCAGATAGGAAGCACTCACTTCTGTAGAGTGAGTGCATGGAGAAGTGATCAGCATCTGGCAATTCTGGCATATTCCTGAAGCAAACAAAGGTCCTAGTAGACTGCCTTTGGTATCCCAGTGTCACGGGCATACATGGCGATTTAATTCAGTTTCAACAGTTAATTCCACAAAAAAGGAGATAGGATACTATAATGCGTTTTTTCTCAGCTGAGAAGAGATGCTTCGCCTCCACAAGAGTTCCAGTTGATTGGCTGTTGCAAATCTGTCCGATTTAGTCCTGAATTACTTAAGTACCTGTATTTTTAAATGTGCAACAAATTTTAGGGAAAGTTGTGTTTATCTGAATTTTTTAACTTTTTATACATGTTTTTGAGTATGCTGACTCCAAATATGACTTTAGTTTTTTTACAGCATCAATAGTTTTATCAGAAATTAACAATTAATTTTTTTTCATCTCTGAAATTTAACCAGAAATCAGAAGGCATAATGTTGATATACATCACATTTGCTAATGAAATAAATGAAACGAGAACACAAATGTATGTTATATTGAAAGCATAAACAACACATTCCTTTTCTACTCTTGTTACCAATGAAATTGAACATTAAACTATGCTAAAAATGAACACTTGAACGGCATTTTCTTTTGTGTTCCTTGGGTCATCTCGAATCAAACTCCACACGTAGTCACCCATCATAGTTTCATCCCAAGTCCCCTTATATCTCTTCTCCTGATGAAACCGTTCGCCATGCTCTTCACTCACGTGTCCCAAGTTTGGTCTGAAGAATTCCAAGTGTGAATGCAAGTAGTGTAACTTCAGTGACATTCTGCAGCCAAGTTCTCTGTAACATACAATTAAATTTTCCACCAGCTCTTTGTAGTTCTCAGACTTGTGATTGCCCAGAAACCCATGTACTTTAAGCCGAAATGCTTGCCAGGCATTTTTTTCAACAGTTGACATTTTGTTTTCCAAATCTGTAGATGCCAACATCTGCCTAATTTGTGGTCCAATGAAGATGCTGCCTTTGAATTTGGCCTCAGACAATTTTGGAAACATTAAGCGGACGTGTTTAAAGGCGTTACTTTCTGGGCTTAATGCTTTGATAAACTGCTTCACAAGCCCTAGCTTTATGTGAAGTGATGGCAGCAATATCTTCTCTCTTTGAATAAGAGCATTGTTACATACATTGTGTGCACCAGGAGTTAATTCGCTTCTCACATGCCAATCTCTTCTGTCATAGTGTTTGTCATCTGCTCTACTATCCCACAGACAGAGAAAACAAGAATACTTGGTATAGCCACCTTGTAGTCCAAGCAGGAAACCTATCATCTTGAAGTCTTGTATAGTTGAGCATGTCCAACAAAATCTTTACATTTCCATAGTCTTCCTTCATGTGAACTGAATGACCTACAGGAATTAATGGAAGTGTACTCCCTTTGTGAAGCAACACAGCCTTAAGACTTTTTGTTGAGCTGTCAATAAACAGACGCCAATCAGAAGGGTTGTACTCAATGCCTATTTGGCCAAAAAGGCCATTGACATCAGAGCAATAACACAGCAAATTAAGTTCCAAAACTTTGAAGAAAGGTGTAAGAGTTAGATGCCTTTGCCTGTATGTACTAGTCTTGCAACTAGGATCTAGTAAATTCCACTCCTTGAGACGAGATGTGAAAACCTCAGCATTTTTATTGATTGGTGTTTGTTCTAATAAACCTTTATATATATATATATGTATATATATACTAAACATACTGAAACATTCAACATGAATTTAAGTAATGGCATGTACAAACTGGACAATTTTGTAATTAAGAAGATTTGTAACCAGGTGAGAAGGTTGGGTCACCTTACCCTCTGACCTGACTACCGAACGTTACGGTGCTATTTAAAGATTAGTAGGGTCATTACCTAATACCTGACCATTGTGGACCTGATCTCACCCTCCTCTGTATATATACACCTTGTTTTGTACTTCTCCTTAGTCTGTACCCACCCCTGAAGATGTGAATTACACGAAAGCGCTTGGGAACTTCGTGTTTTCTTCTTTCCTTGTGGTTATCAGCATATACCTGAATCACGTGCAACTACAGTGATTTACTTGCATATATATATATATATATATATATATATATATATATATATATATATATATATATATATATATATATATATATATATATATATATATATATATATATATCAAGTAAATCCACAATGAAAACGTGGATAAGATAAATCTTGATAAAATCACACGGGAAAATGGAAACAACGGAGCACCTTAGCTTTCGTCTTTATTCAAGACATCTTCAGAGGCAACTGGATTACATGGACAGAGAGAGGCTTAAATATACAGGGTGACCTAAAAACATGAGGTCAGGTCATAATGATGACATCCACTAATCCCCACACCAACACACACGTAGAGGAGCTTAAGAGAAGGGTGGTGACGTGACTAGCCAGGTCAGGTCAGAAAAAAGGACCCACAAAATAACTATCATACATCTAGATCAAAGGTTTTCAAAGCATTTTTATCCTTGGGCCACTGACAAATAAATTTATGTAACATATTATCAGTTTTGAACTGACCATCACTAAGGTTTATTGATTTTAATTCCTTAATCAAACTAGCTTCAACCAGAAGTCTTTCTGTGACACAAGATGATTTGAATACTTCTAAGCTTTTTTCCCAAGCAATGGGGTGATTATTATTCCTAACATGAACGAACAAGGCACTGCTTTCAGATGCAGTTCTGATATTATACTTATGTTGTTTGATTCTGAGCTGCAGTGTTTTTCCTGTCTGACCTACATAATTACAATTACATTTGCTACATGGAATACAATAAACACTTCCATTACATTCAAACTTGGGCTATTCCTCACTACAACACTAGTACAACATCTTCACTACAACACTAGTACTACATCTTCACTACAACACAATATATCTTGACTGCAACAATAGTACTACATCTTCACTACAACACTAGTACAACATCCTCACTACAACACTAGTACAACATCTTCACTACAACACTAGTACAACATCCTCACTACAACAATAGTACTACATCTTCACTACAACACTAGTACAACATCCTCACTACAACAATAGTACAACATCTTCACTACAACACTAGTACAACATCCTCACTACAACACTAGTACAACATCCTCACTACAACAATAGTACTACATCTTCACTACAACACTAGTACAACATCCTCACTACAACAATAGTACTGCATCTTCACTACAACACTAGTACAACATCCTCACTACAACACTAGTACTACATCTTCACTACAACACTAGTACAACATCCTCATTACAACACTAGTACTACATCTTCACTACACCATAATATAACTTCACTGCAACACTCGTACTACATCTTCACTACAACACAATATATCTTCACTGCAACACTAGTACAACATCGTCACTACAACATAATACATCTTCACTGCAACACTAGTACAACATCGTCACTACAACATAATACATCTTCACTGCAACACGAGTACAACATCGTCACTACAACATAATACATCTTCACTGCAACACGAGTACAACATCGTCACTACAACATAATACATCTTCACTGCAACACTAGTACTACATCTTCACTGCAACACTAGTACTACATCTTCACTGCAACACTCAATCAGTGGAAGGATGGTAAGGGAAGGGAGATTGTAGTAAGGAGAGGATAGATTTGTACTACGATCTTCACCACAATTCTGTCTCTCGACTATAATAAATTTTACCACTCAATTAACCTCACTATTGAAAGTTCCAACCTGAGTAATATTACTTTTTTGCTCCAACTCCCCGAAAAATAAATTGATGTCCTTGAGTAAGATGTAAGAAATCCATATCGACAAAATGGACTTGCAAAACAGAATTTTTGCTGAATTTGTCAACGACCCTCGCCCTTACCCTGGCCGAGATTCATTCATGACTTATATACTTCAAAAGGTTATCTTCAGTGATTTTGACAATGACAGAATTTTTCGTAAGGAGTTGCAAGACGATTATGTCTCTTACTGCAAAAAGAATGGTTTAACTCAGGCTGCTTTCTCCAATTTTGGAATGCATCTAAAAAGAACTGGGATTAAGATGAAACGCATGGGCAAGCGTTACGACCAAGCATACGTCTACCTGTGGATGAAATGGCGCAACCCCGAGACGTTTACACAATACGTTCCTGAACGTAAAGGAGGAAAAGAAGAGACTGAATCGCCAAGTCTAGAAATGCCATTCTTGCCAGAAGAAGAAATTGAAACATTGTCTACACTTATGTGTCCTCTGAAACGTCCCGTGGATGTAGAAAAAGTGGTCCCAAAGCAAGAAGAGCTAGTGACCACTGAAAACCCCTCTTCAGAGAGGAAAATGATTGTGGGCAACAAGAGGCCCTACTCCGGCCCAGGCTTAAGTCAAGAACAAAGGGCAGCTATAGAAGCGAGAGCTAAGAAATTTGGCCTCAAACTTAACAAATTTTGTTGAATATAGGGAAGAAAATAATTTATATTTTTTAATTTTTTTTCAGTTATATAAATAAAAGGATACAGTGGAATATTTGGTATCAAGCCAAAGATACCATCACTGGTTATTAACACATACCTTTGTAATGATGATTTGTTGTCAAGTTTTATTGAAAATCAGAAATAAATATACTTATTAACTTAAAAATTTTGTTTTTTTTCCCTGCCGACTTTGATCATTAACTCTATATTTGTAATTATAACATAACTACTGCATTATGGTAACCGTTTCCTATCCTGCTCTCCCTTGTCCTTATTTAAAACAATTTTGAATGAAATAATGCAAGCTTTTAAAGAACTGTACACGGTTTTATATGTTATAGATGGTTACCACTACCCCCAAAAATCTTTACTATTCCAGTATTGTACAAAATCTTTATCACTGCAGTTTCCTATAACTAAACACATTATTGGAAAACAAATTTTAGGTTATTTTCATAACATATTTTTAATGTGCGAAGATAAGTCATATAGCTAGTAAAGATCACGTTACCACGTAAACAAAGTGCACTAAATAGTGACGTTACATATAGCATGATCAGTCAGTTGAAATTCATCAACCTATGACATGGAATCTTTTTAAACTCAGTATTGTCATCTTCGGATTGGGTGTCCACAGATGACATGGCATTTGTGCAGCCCACCCCTCTGTAATATCCACAAGCAACTGAGCACTCTAGACCATGCTTCCTGCAACTACACCTCCGGGTATCACAATTCACTTGACAGTTGCAGGAAGAGGATGAGGATTATGAACATAGGCTATGATATGTGAATTATGATTGTAAATGGAGGAAGAGAGAGAGAGGAAAGGAGAGAAGGGGAGATGAAAGAGGAAAAATGAAAAGAGGGAATAAGAGATAAGTTAGAGTGAAAAGGAAGTAAATGAAATTTCTTCATTTATCACAACTAGTCAAATTTCACACACAACTCAGGGGTTAGGTGGGGTTAGGTTGGCTTCCTCTCCTTGAGGTAGTTTTAGTCTGTCGTTCACACTGCCAGAGGAGCGTTAGCTCCCATACACAGCGATCCACCTTAGATTAAAACTTAGATGATATAAATTCACATTTAACAAGTCACAATCAAGTGAGTCCATAACGTAATACAGTATAAGATGTTAATAAACTTGTAATTGTAAAATCAAACTTGTCATTGTCTACCAAAGTAACCATTGTGCAACCTTATCCTAAACCCTAGGTTAGCTTAGTTAGCCAACAAACTCTGTAATATGTAAAACAAGGGGTGTCGTCCCCCTCTGTTTAACTCATTAAACTTCTTTTCCAACCTTTCTCCCCACGACTATATGTTGTGACTTCTCTATCCCTCATGTCTGGCTGTGCTTTGAACCCCAGCATGCCTTCCATCAATTCCCCACCTTGACCTAAAAAAAAAAATAAATAAATAAAAAAAAAAAAAAATCATTTAGAAATACTTCATTACTTCAGGACGAAATCGGACAGATTTGCAACAGCCAATTAACTGCAACTCTTGAGGAGGGGGCAGGGCATCTCGTTTCAGCAAGGAAAAAACGCATTATAGTGCTGTTATCAGGTACCCCTGTAGTGTACAATGTTACCAATAGCAATCTGGCACGTGTCTCAAATGCATATAAAATAAATAACATAAAGGGGCCTTACTAAAGCTCAGGGAAGGAAGGACATCCCTCCAAAGTATCAGGAGGTCGCCGAGTGGTGATCCAACAGGCATCAGGGAAGCGTTGGGTGCGAGGATATGATTTCGTGCCATTAATCCCCATTCACTGCTTGTAGTCAAGGATAATATCTGATCCATGGTAGGACCATTCCTTTTACACATCTTAGAAGCATGGTACACCCCTTAAACCTGCCATAAGTACTACTGTGTGTCACAGGAGTAAGTCACCTACCTTGTAAAAGATTGTTGTGCCCGACAAGAAACGGATGACGTACCCCTTATACGCATAAAACCTCAGTGCCTTCTTTACAGCATAAGCGACAGTGCCCCATTTCTTGAGTGAATGTTTAACTGTTAGTGTAAGAATTAAACATTAGATAAAGATGAAAAGAAAAAAATAATAATAATTAAGGATCGGTAAAAGGTAAATGGGGGGCATGACTGTGATATCCCATTCTAGTGCCCAAGTGAGGATTAACAGACGTATGGAAAAAACACAGCAAAACAACTCCTAGCAGAATCATTAAACTTCAAGTGACAAATACATTCATCTCTTGTGGCGATATAATGTCTATTAGAATAATGTTATATGGTCTCAAGCGTTCCACATCTGGTGGGGCAATGTATATTACTTTTAAAGGAAATAAATTTGAGGAATGTTTGCAAAAGTATGAGCAGTAGGATAAACACACAGTGGAAACAAACAAAATTAAAACATTATGCAAACAATAAGACTATTTGTCAATAATAAAACCGTTAACAATTTGAAAACTTTATCCACTGAGGGCTCTATGGGTTGTATTAAAAAATAAAGTCTTAGTAGCACTGTACAGCCACTGACCTATATAACCCATCTTGATCTCCACCCAGGACCTGGCGAATCCATCAGAGAGGATATCACTGATGATCTCTTGACCCATCAAGACGACTGAGAAAGGGGTCTTCAAAACCTGTGGTCTTCGTCGTCTTTGTCTATGGCGGCGCCTCATAGCACATAAAAGTTTTCGAGCATTTCTTCTCTTTTTTAGAGCATTTCTTACACCCATGGCATTAAAGGGCACACCTTTCTCCATGGTTGGTTATTTTAGTTTGCAGTTGGTAGAGCTCTTGCCAACCTGGATACAGACACAAGAAAAGAGATCAATCATTTCTTTTAATAGAATTTACTACCACACTAAGGTAGTGTGAGAGTTTGTTCTTGTAAGAAGGGTGTTGGCAGGGCAATATGTCACTAGATATAACTGGTGGTGTAAGTGGCAGACTACAGGATAAGACACCCCAAACATAATCATTTCAAATAATTCATTTGTAACACAAACCAAATAACTTAACTTAACCTTACCTACTGGTTTTAATCTGGGTAGGTTAAGTTTCCCAATTCATTTCGACTGTTATAAGCTCCCCAGTAAATCTGTCTTTAATGTTTCAGTAAACTGTCAAAGTGCCACCATTAAGCCATGTCTGTACAGTGATTTGGTCCTGGTAACATTAGATTCCATATATAACTTTAATGAAATTTCAAAGCAGCATTGAAAATACATTAATGAGCAAATTGTTTGTCAAACAATCTTCAAATTGGTGTTATCCAGAGTAGATTCACAATTTCATCTCTGTAGTCGTTAAAATACACCCAGTGTCATAATGTTTTATGTGTAAATGAAGGTTTATCATCATATGAAAAGAAACAGAAACTGACAAATTAGGGAAGTGGAGAAATGAAGTAAAAATAAAAATAAATTAAGCTTGTGGGTTAATTATAAAAGGTCAAGGGTAAGTGGTATTGAATGGCTAATCATAGCCTATTCATAAATTATACGTACTAGGGTACAGTAGAGTTTAATGTATTTGAAAGATGTGCATACTTTAGTTGAACTGGTTTTATGTTTCATTTATTGTCCTGCGCGTGAGACTTGTTTATGGTTACGTGTTTATTAAAAAATGTTAAGATGTTTGAAAATATTTGTTTGTTTTTGTTTGTTATGATTACATGTCTAGTTATTGTGTTAATTACTATTTTGTGCTATTTACTTTTATTGCATAAATGGATCTTGGATTTGTTAATAAAGTATGTATGCGCAGTGTTTATCATTATCTTAAATATGTTTGTTTTGAATTTCATTAACGTGTTTTTTATTGTCTTAACCAATTTTATGTTTTGGATGTCTGCCTTTTTCGGGAGTGAGGGTTGTAAACTCTTGGAACAATCTACCAGAGAGTGTTGTGACGGCACCGAGTGTGAGCTCTTTCAAGACCAGACTTGACCAACACTGGAGCGGGCATTCAGGAGCCGGTGCATGCCCAGTATTTGCCAACAGTGCGTGACAGAGACGTGACCGATCGCCCAAGCGGCTAACAAGCCGATCAGTGGCGAAGAGGATAAAAGTAAAAAGTAAAGTAAGACAATACAATGCTGAATATCATAGCTGTGGCTAAGAAATGTCATTAAATAAGTGTCCTGGACGCGGCTTAAACCAAGATTGTTTGTCTTCGCCCTCTAAGGTGGATTTCCCAGTCACCTACCTCGATTAATATAGCTATAACTCTTGAATTGAAGTAGGGATAATTAAATTTATGTAGTCTGCTACCGACAACTATGGGTGTTCCACATGTTTTACAACCTTGGGATGAAAAAAAGTTATAAAGCTAACTCGAATAGGTCTATATAAACTCAGAAGCAATACAATGACAAATACGTGATAAATTACTTGTAAAGACAGTAAATATTTGGAGCTTACCTTCCTGCGTTCCTCCAGTGTCTGCCTCTGGCAACGTTGAACTTGGTCATAGTTAATGTTAATAAATTATCCACGAACAAAATGTCAAATTCCTTAACATTTCCGGAAAAAAATAAATCAAGCTTAAAGACATCCAAATTAATTTATCATGAGATTCTTATATTATTTGTACTTATGTTAAATTTGCATGGAATCATATTAGAAATAATAATAATGATATTAATAATAATAGCTATGAGACTCGTGTTCGTGGTATCGTTTTACCACAAATAACTTTTTCAGTATTGCAAGTCTAAGTGCAATAAATATTTTTTATATTCCTTGGTTAGATGGAAATAGAAAGGTGCCAGATAAAACCTCACTAGGCCAAAAAATAACGAACAACCGCCCCCCCCTCCAGGTACTTACTGGTTGTAGGTAGTAGGCAGCTACCAAACATCAGGGAGGTACTACTGTTGGGTACTGGTTATTTGGTTCGCGTTCAGGATGGGATGGAGAAAGGAAACTCACAATGTGCTCTCTGTATACATATTGTATCAGATGTACAATGCAGCTTGGTGCTGGGAAGGCAACATGGTTACAAGCGTTGAGTAGAGAGAGCTGGTTGGTGAGGGTGCTCAGAGGAGGACCAGCTTGTGGGTCGCCATGCTCGCCGGCGGGAGCGAGGAGGAGGTGTTACTTGAAGACTGGCTGTCGGTAGAAAGAGATAGGTCATCACGAGGTCAGGTCTTATATAGCGGAGGTAGGCGTGGCTTAATAGTTGACCTCCGTCATGTAAGGCGGCGCTGGTTGACCTTGACCACGAGGCATACACTGGGGAATTCGCGGGGTCGGCTACTCAACGACAAGCGTTTGTAGGGGAGAAATCCACTACACTCCCACCGGGGAAGATATTGGAAGCATAATGTGTTGTCTAATGTTAGACCCTGATACCCTGCTGCCATATGGCATTTCGAAAATTGTGACCAAGTCCCAGGTTGCTGTTCACTTTCTGTCTCATTTACACACAATTGCAGGGTCTGAATTGTTTCTCTTACTATTGGTTGGTTGATGATACGGAGAGAAGAGAGCATTAGCTCTGAGGGTGCAAGAAGGGTACAGTACAAGGTAAAATGCAGAAGTGGGAAATATAGGAGGTTGACAGCACAACAAACATACTATATAATGTTTCTCACTTTTTGACCTTTTTTAATTTTTGTATTTTCCTTTATGGTTTATTATTATTATTTCATTTAAATTTTTTAAATTTTTTATCAAAATATATTTACTATTAATTATTATTATTATTAAATTTTTGCCCCCCTAGGTCAGTGACCTGTGCCCGGGTGGGCTAATCCCCGTAAAATAAAAAAATATGTGCAACATAGGGCATATATATATATATATATATATATATATATATATATATATATATATATATATATATATATATATATATATATATATATATATATATATATATATATATATATTAATGCTTCTCAAGATCACTCATAAACTTTGGTGAAAATATCACTCAATCAATCCATCAAGAGTGCTGTCATAATTATCTGAAGATTGGCGACCACAGTCCTCCACTCTAAACATTCTCTGGCTGTGTTTACCAAGCCTCTAAGGTTTTGTATTGCTCTCTTGGGGGTGCTTCTATAGCGTGCAGTCCACAAAGATATCTTTAGTCTAACCTAATCCAACTTGACCTGACCTAAGCTAAGCTAACATGACCAAACCTAACTTAACCTAAATATCTTGTAGACCACCTGCCATAGTAACACCCTCTTAGGACCTAGTTTTTAATTTCATTCACCCATCCCAGCCTCTGCCTTCCCCTGGCCTTTCTACCCTCAACTTTGCCCATAAATATTTCTGGTTTTTTTTCCGTATCCCTAATTATATGACCAAAGTATTTAATTTTTATTTTTCTGTACATTTCAAATATTTTTCTTGAAGTTTTTGCTAATCTTAGTACTTCATTTGTTTTCCTGTCAGTCTAACTTATTCTTTACATTTATATATAACACTATATTTCAAAGGCCTCCAACCTCGTTAACCTGCATGGTAAATGTTATAAACTCGATTATGCAACATGTCTGCATGATAGTGTGTGGACCAGAACTTATACACCTGTAATAACACAAAGGGAGACTTGTTTAATAATTAGGTGAAAAATAACATAACAGCCAATTCCCAGTCTGAAGTGGCTGGATGGGTCTTTGCTGATCTTTCCATGGAGTTTCAACAGGTCATTGCCACAGTATTTTTTCATTCACTGACGAAGTTCCTGCCTGATTTTCTTTTTCAAGACCTTTTATGTTTCTTCAGTGTGAGAAGAGGAAGCTCCACAATGGCCATGTCTCAAGTAACACAGACCTCTTCGACATCTGCTGAGCTGCAAATGATGTCAGTACTACTCCTGGACCTCCCTCATTGTCTTTTTACAATTCTGTACACACACACAGTACAGTAGATCACATGGCTGCTGAAGAGTGAACATTACCAGAGTACACTTAGGGTATGTCCCATGTGTGAGCGTCCTGCGGCACTGAGCAACCAGGGCGTAGATGTGTAACCTACTTTCCAAAACAATCTGTATCCCACCTGCCAGTGTAATCATGCCGTCTACGCAGTGCACAAGTATGATGAAACTTTTAGAAAAAAAAACCGCTTTTCAACGTGTGGTACCTGCAGAGGTACCCAGGAAAAAATATCCCATATATCAGAGGAGGATGAGTAGGCGAATTTCACCATCTCTACAAGGAACTTCACCAAGATCCAAAGAAGTTTCACTAGTACACTGGAATGTATTCTGATTGGGGACGAGGCCTATCCACTGTGTATATTTGTTGAAACTCTATCATAGGAAATGCTCTGAACATAGAAAAAATAATTTTTAATTCCAGATTTTCACATGCCAGGCATGTTGTACAGTGTGCATTTGCTATTTGTACAAGTAAATGTTTAATTTTAAATAAAGCTATTGAAACAGTGTTACATATTGAGCAGACAAGGCAGTGTTAATTGTGGGGTAATAATAATACTGTACAGGTACATGGAGAGAGAAGTCCTTTCGTTTACTAGTTGGCCATGTGCCTCCCTTTAAACCACAACAAAAGAACATCGGGATGTACAGTGCGCTTCATTTAAACTTACATCACGTAACATCCTTCCTCGCAGGGTAAAGAAGGTACTGTACTGACAAACTTCATTACATCAGCATTAATGTACAACCTTAAGGTTAAACTTGGGCATCTTCCTTAAGTAACATAGGTAGTTTTTTGTAGAATGTTACAAAAACACACAATAATACAAGACTTAATCCTAAGTACAGTATATAGTTTACAGAACCTACATAGTTAGAGCTTTCAGATCAGACCTCAAGCGTCACTGAGCAGGTAGATAAGTCCCATTGATATAGTCAAGCGACAGGTCTACTCTCCTTGGGGCAGTCACCTCAAATCCAGTTCCAGTCCTGTATACTTATTCTACTTGAGTGTGTTCTGCTTTGGTTATTTGATGTCCCATTAACGTTAAAGTATCACTACGCAACTCAATCGTGTCTTTGTTAAGCTGGATATTATTCTCTCTACAACATTTGAGAAAACTTTCTAGGTTTGCTTCATGTTCTGTCGTATAGGCCCCATGTATTATGACACCGTCAGCAATGCAGACAACTCCCTTCAAACCTGCTAGTGCCTCAAGTAATTGCTTCTGAAAAATTTCTGAGGATACATTAAGCCCAAAAGGTTAGTGCAGCCACCTGAATCTACCATGACATGTTTGGAATGTAGTCAAATAACTAGCAGGAGTATCAAGCCTCACATGCCAATAGCCAGATGCCAAGTCGACATTTGAGAATACTCTTAGACTGGCCCAATTTGTAAAGGGTGTCCTCAAGAACAGGAAGTGTATAATGTTACCTTTGAAGGGTCTTATTCAGCTCTCTTGGGTCTATGCAAACTCTGACTTTCCCATCCTTTTTGGGACTTGCAACAACTTGACTCATCCAAGGGGTTGGTTCATCTACAGGTACAATTACACCAAGCTTGACTAGTCTCTCTAGTTCTGCCTTTAGTTTAGGCTTCATGGATATTGTATTGGCATGCGTCTGTCAGGCATAATTACAGGTTTAATATTTGGGTCAACTTTTAGGGACTGTGCACCAGGGAAGGTTCCCAGAGAGCCCTTCATCGCATCTAAATACTCAAAGTTGCCCTCCTTTACTTCCACCAGTCCCATCTGTTGACAAGCATTCATCCCTAAAAGTAGTGTAAGATTCTCTTTAAAGACAATGAAATCAATAGGACATTTCTGACCAGTTACAGGGCTGTACAAATTCCTAGTGCATATACTAACTGGAACCCAACTACCTTGGTTCCAGGTATTAAGGACTCTATTTGTGGGTTTGACATGTTTGGCAAAACTGAGGGGTAGAGTATTCACAGTAGAACCAGTGTCAATCTGAAAGATTCTCTCTTTATCTCCTATCACCATCTTACACTTAGC